CCCAACTTTGGCCGTGCTTTTAATTGACATGACAGCTCGACCGTAGAAACGACTCTAGTTGATCCTCTAGCCCTAGAGTTGAAAACCTCAGCCCAACATACGGCACTTCCAACATGAGTGGAACAAATCACTGTGAAGAGTGTATGGAGAACTTTCACTCACCTGTGCATTTCCACGGCTTGGTGTGCACAGGCTGTCCGTGACCGTCCAAGATTGACCCCCCCCCCCCCGCAATTAGGATTGGCCTCAGTTAGGGTTAGCATTTGTTAGGGTTGGCCTCCATTAGGGTTAAGCTCTCTTAGGGTTAAAGCCAGTTGGAATCCATCTTTCCTAGGCTTCATTCAGTCCATCCTGTAAACAAAATTGCCTGAAACTGATCACAAAAAATGACAAAGTTACATGTTTTTCATACTGTACAGTGTACATGACACAGAATTCTCGTGTGATTATCTGGATATTTTTGGTGCCAATAATCCAAAATTTCTGATGTCTCATAATTCATAAAAACTCTTAGTCATGGCTTGTTGTGGTTTCTCCGCCACTGCTACAACTTACATGTACGTAAACAAGAGGAGCGATTTTTTTAATCCAGCCGTCATTATTTCTTGGAAGATGCCATTTTGAAATATAAGGTGTAGTCCACTAATTCAAGCCTCATTAAAAAGATTGTAAAATCTGCGTTGTTCACGGCCCAATAACATGCTTACCAACTTCCTCGGGTCTTCGAAACACATCTTACATGTTACAATTATTGTAAGGTCCATAATGTTTTAATTTCTGTAATCAATATTCTGTGGGTTAACTGATTACCTACAATCAAAATTACCCGGACCCCAAAAAGTTAAAATATCGGGACTATTCTAGTATTTTCAAGTTATTGTGAATTGAATACTGTGCACAAGAATCATTTTTCCATAGTAGTATGTGTATACACGTACAGTACCTGTGTGGGAGTAATGTACATGCACAGGTGCACACATAATCATGGCCGACCATCAATCGCCTCGACAAAAAGCCCAAGTTGAAATTGATAAAACTAGCAAAGGACATTTTGCAATAGCTTAAACATAATTGCATGGTAACCTATTTCAAACACTCTTTTAATTACATGTATCAAGATATGAAGCATATGAGGAAAAACTGGAGAACAATTCCAAATTTTGATTTTTAAATGGGGTAAAGGTGGGAGTACTGGACCACATAAGCAAGATACTTGACCAGATGTGTAGTTTTGGAATGCAGTTGGTCGAATTCCCCTCCTTACTACACATATACCCTACCCTTTCTTACGTTTGGAAATGTAACATACCCCCCGAACACTGACGTCTTTCACCCCATTTTCTACCAAATATCACTTACAATAAACAAAAACACATCACGAAATGAAATCTGAAGCCTGATTATATTTGTCTGGTAATGTGGTATAAATTCATCTAACTTTTTACACAGTGCAGATCTTATCAGATGGATTTTGGTACATGTATACTCATTCGCTGGCCGGGGTCGCCATTTTAACAAGCAACAGAAAGTGACCACTACTGTCAGATTTTAGCACATGCACACAAACAACATGTAAAGTGGAGGGGGTGAACATACACATGCATGCTGAGAAGAGAACTTTAATTGGTCGTTCAATGCTGCAATGCTTTGAAGGCTCAGGTCCACCTGTAACAGGTAACACTGTTACATGTACTTACTATTCGGTTCTGCTCTACAAGCTACAGAGAAAGAAGGTACAGGACGACACCAACTACGATCAAAGTTTAATCCTTCACACATGTACATGTACATATCCATCATCAGAACTATCTGCCATCACAACATATCCCAGCATGCATCAAGACAGGGAGTACAGTAAAAGTATGGAGGGCCTAAGCTGCCAAATTATACTGTTGCACTCCCCCCTCAAAGACTATGTCTGGGGGTAAAACTAAAAATAAAAAGGTTGGCTTAACATGTTTATATAAAACAACATTCCAATCTTGGGTTTGTGGCCAAAGAAAAAATCTTACTTCTTGCTCTTATTCACTTAATGAAACAAGTGCAAGCATGCCAGGTGACAAAACAATTACTGGAGTTGCAGATCACAAACACATGTAACCTAGGTTAAAGCAAGAAGAATGTCTGTCCTTCACAAAAGACATACATGTACGTATATATTCAAGCCACATCTGTTGGGGTGCTGCATCATTATCAGGGCGACAAAGTCAAAATTTTCTTTTCTTTTATATAAAGGCCACTGAGAAAAAGAAAACAGAAAATGCCTTCTTGTCCAAGAATTGAAATAAACGTGACAGTCATGGAACATACATGTAGCTGGCCCTGGAGGGAAAAACGGGTTTTAATGGATTGACAACACTCGAACCAGCACAGCTCGAAAAGTGAAGCCCTTTCAGTCCATCGAACCTAACAGCTCAAGAGTCCATTATGGGACAGGTTTGACCTGGTCAATGTGTACGTACAACAAGTTCTTTGTTAGGTTCGTTGATGTTGGAGAGTTTGAGGTTAACTGCTGTGAGGAGTTCCCTCACAACGAATGGTCCCTGATCTACAGCGGGGCGCCAGTTTTGCACTGAAGTTCTTGCCGGCATTCAACTAAGGGTGAGTGCGGACTATTACCTTGTAACCCGTGGACAGATGGAAGCTGCTGTGCGATTTGTTGTAGTAGCATTTGCGTTTATCACACGCCTAATTTTGGTGCTTGTTGAATGTTGGCTTGTTCGGACACTTGCTGTATATCTGGTTGTTGATTTGGCAAAGAATCTGTTACAAGTTTATTGGCCAGTTGTGTGCGAATACTGCGACCGAACATCAGAACGGCTGGTTCTACTGCCGTGGTCTCGTGCGCTGCTGTGTTCAGGGCAAATATGAATTGGGCAATGTAAGTGTCCCAAATGAGGTGGTCAGATCCTATGTAGGCCTGAAGCATCATGCTTGATGACACGGTCAACACACTTGACCCAGTTTGACTTGGGGTAGTAGGGTGAAAAGACATTGTTCAACTCCCCAGTCACTGCAGACTGCAGAGAAGGCCCGATCTGGTGAACCGAGGGGCCATTGTCAGACAGGAGTGAGCATGGGGCTCTGAAACAGCAGAACAACTGGTGAACAACCGCGCAGGTGACTTTTGCCAGAAGCATTCCTCAGTGGAAAAGTTTCAGTCCACTTTGAGAAATGGTCAGTAGCGGCGAGGAGGTACATGTACTCATGGCCACCATACGACTTGGGTAGGGGACCTACATGTACATGTATGAGGTCTATGTCAACAATCTGCCACGGTGCATCTGACTGCGTTGAGAGCATAATTCCTGCTGGTTTAATGTACAGCGGCTTTGTCTGCCGGCACTTAGGGTAGGCACGAATGAAACTAAGGACTAACCTGGCTATCCCCTGCCACCAAAGGCGTTCACTAAGAATGCGGTTCAAAGTTTTATTCATCCGATGTGGCCAGCAGTTGGTTTAGCACGGTACTCCAGCATTACATCTCTCTGCAGGGCTTTAGGGACAACAAAAGCCAATGACGACTTGACAAAGTGCAAAAGTAGGGCATCAAGAATGCGATATTTGTCGGCTTGGCCCTGAATGCATTTAGTGAGGTGTGGGTCATCTGGCAATTGATTGTTTTCAAGGAAGTCATAGAAAGGCACAAAATCCGAGTCAGCAGCCTGTGCCTCTAGGAGACGTTCCCGTGTGAGGACAGCAGTACAGTCGGCACATTATACATGTAGCTGCAGTCAGTCAAGACAGTGATATCCCATTATTCAAGGTCCTTTTGGTGTTCCCATCGACATTGACGGGAGACTGGGCATGAGAATCTGGCCATATTGGCAGCACATTTTGGGCGGATGTGGACACATTTGGTGAGAAACCACTCATTGCAGCTGTCAAACTGTACCCAGTCTATTAGAGCGCCTGTGGGATCAAGGCACATGGCCGCAGCACAGGGAACTACCAAGTTGTCCCTGTCATGCGTCCTAGCAGAGGGCACAACATCAGTGGAGCTGTCTGCAGGTGCCAGTTGGGTCGGTGTTGGAGGTGCACGGGTCCGGGTTTGTTAGCACCACTCCAATAACGTGCAGTTAATTCGGAGCCCTGGATAGGGCACCGGGTGCCACATTTTGTGAGCCTGGGCAAAACACAGCATCGAACGCAAAGTCCAGTAAGCGTACATGTATGACCCAACGAGCGAGGCGCCCCTTTTAGTTGGATCTGCATAACAGCCAGCACAAGGCCTGGTGGTCAGTCATTACACGACAATTATGGCAAACCTAGATATGGGCGTTATTTCTCTCAGGCCCAAACAACGGCCATGCAAACACTTTCTCTGTTGCGCTACAATTCCTGTCAGCACTAGAAAGAGCTCGGCTGGTGAAGGCGATTGTGTGTGACCCATTCTCTTGTTGCTGGAGACTGTCAAACAAGTCCAACATCGCTCACCTCAGTATGAATGGGAAAAGGCGAATTAGGATCAGGGAAACCCAGGATGGGCTATGTTGTAAGCATGTGTCGTAAGCAGTCAAAGGCTTGTTGGCATGCCAGAGACCACACCCAAGCAACATCCTTTCAGCAAAGTTGGTACAAAGGTTCAGCTACATGTACAGGTATGTTGGACAGGTGGGGAATTAACTTCTGATACCATCCCACCATTCCCAAGAAATGTCCCAGCTGAGCTGCTGCTGTGTCTGGGGAATTGGGAAGTCCTGAATTGTGGCCACCTTGTCTGGGTTCAGACGCAGACCACCCTTACTCATGATGTGTCCGAGGAAAGACATTTTGGAGCAAGCAAAGTTGCATTTCTCAAAGTTTATGGTAAGACCAGCGGCATGTAGCTTGGTCAGCACTTCATGCAGATCAGCAAATGTTGCTCAACAGTTTGCGAGTAGCAAACGATATCATCAAGGTACACGTAGAATGTACGGCCGATGAGGTCTCCAAGCACCTCTTACATACATGTACACGTAAGGCACTGAAAGCTGGCTAGGCCATTGACTAACTCCAGATGGAAGTACTCTGAAGTAGAACAGCCCCTCTTCACAGATAAAGGCTGTTTTCTCAGCATCCTCGGGAGCCATGTTCATCTGCCAATAGCCACTGCGGAGATCCAGGGAGCAGAAAAATTCAACCCTATGGTGAGAGTCAAGTATGGTGTCAATAGTTCGCAGTGGAAATGCGTCAACTTTCATCACACGATTTAATTTCCTATAGTCCGCACAGAATCTAAATTTGCCATCTCTCTTGGGGACCATCAGTACTGGCAATGTCCATGGTGACTTTGAGGGACAATCTTCCCTGACTGCAGTGGCGTCTGTATTTCATCGTGCAAGGCTTGATGGCGATCTGGTGGAAGACGGTGTGGGGGGGGAGCATTGGGCGAGGCATCTTCAAACACATCAACATGGTGCAGTGCAACGTCTGCCTGCCTTGGTTCATCAGACGTGATGTCAGAAAGTCATTCAGCAGGAAGTCTATGAAGTGGGGTTCATTGCCTGTTAGGATTGGTTGGTCCAGGCATGAAGAAGTTGATGGAGACATCTTCATCAGCTGTCGTGACCATTTTAGTGTGACATAGGGAAGGGGCTGGAGTACCGAGCATAGGGTACTTGATTAGGTGGTCATCCTTGGAACGGACTGTCCAGTAGTGCTGTAGTTATTTGCGAAGTCGAGTGTGAGATGGGTTTCATGTAAACAGTCTATCCCAAGCAGCATAGGGGTCGGCAGGCAGCGGGCATCGTGTAGGCCGAGGGCTGCATCCATGCCACCCCCAGAGACTTATGTCTCGACAGTTCTGGGTGCGCTCAGCCCAGACCATCCACCATGACTAGTGTCTCTTTACATGGTGGGCCTGGAGACAGACCAAGTTCATTACAGAATTCTTTTGTAACCAAGGACAGGCTGGAACCGGTGTCTACAAGAGCAACAGCAGTGCGGTTGTTATCTACAACAACCAGTGCAGTGATCGATTTCCGCAAGTCCTGTCGGACTGCAGAGAGTCTACTTTTTGGCTGCTGCGGCCTGGTGCTGGCTGTGGACGGTTGTGGAGCTACTGGCTGAGCACGCAGCTGAGTGCTGGGGTTTGGGGGCAGTAATGGGCATTTTCGCACTCTATGTCCAATTTGTTTGCATCGGTAGCACACTCTTGTGTACTGCCTGGGTTGACTCAGTTGGGGAGGGGGCACTGGTTTGTTTGGTGCTGCCTGTGGTTTGTTTCCTAACACGGATGGCTTGCCTGGTGAGGATGAAGTTTTGTCAGGGCCCAGTGGTATCGCTGGGTTGTTCCTGGGCCTGCTTTGGGAGGCTGAATTGTTCAATCGATAGTGTAGCATGTACTCATCTCCAGTCCGAGCGTGTTTGGACAATGTTTTGAACTTCTGCTCTCATAGCTTCAAGCGAAGTCTGTCAATGTGTACTGTGGGCAGGAACTGGTCCATTATGATGAAGTTAAAACAATATTTGACCTCCGGAACCTTAGCCATTGCCTTCTCTGTTTGGAGCCATTTGAAGAAGCTGTGTTCAAGTCTATTTGCAAAGTCCTCAAAAGTTTCCTCATCCTTCTTGGTGTCTGACTTAAACTGCATTCAATAAGCTTCAGGAGTTGTAATGTAGTTTCATCTTCTTTACGACGAAACCGTTGTACTTCTGACAAACTCACACGATCACGCTTCTCTGCTAATCTACATGTATACTTATTTATTTCTACAGTAGTGCTAGCAGATGTGATACATCAAAATCTCGAAGACCCTCTTCCCCTCTCTCTCTCCTCCTCTTTATAACCCATCATATTCCCATCTAATTTCTAAGAAAATATCTGTGCACTTCCAGAAGGTTAGTGTGGTCAGTCAAGGATATAGTGTGGTCAGTCCCGACCACTTCCAGTCCCTTAGATTTCATTTTTACGACCTTCTCATGAGCCCAGTTTCCGCCTTAATTGACCACGACCTTCCCCTACATACTTGTGGTTCCTTACTCAGAATTGCTTCATGACAGGAGTGCATAAGTACCATGTTCAATTGCAGCTGGGATTTTGTCAAAATCCTGTTTATCCTCATCATTCAGTCCACAGAGCACCTTTCTGGGCTCTGCCAGTAAGGTAGGGTTCAAGCGGCCGTGACCATTCTGACTTTGGCTTCTTGGCAGCTGTTGCCAGGCCTTTGAACGTGGTTTGGTTTGGTCTGGTTTGGTTTATTATTAAAAACTCAATAGCAGCCAAAGGCTGAATTACTGAGAGTTTCACAAATTTTAAGATTACAAGAGTTATAACATCAACACAAAATTAACCAAAACAAGACAAAGTAATATTCTAAAAATGATGAACCTAAAAAACTGTATAAAAAAAGTGGCCAAGTAGCATGTGATATCTTCACCATTGCTCTGTTTAGGGAAGTCTGGGCGCTTCTGGCCCAGCTGTACTGTACCACAGAGGGTTTATTGGCTGACTCTGTGCCAGCATCCACTAACAATTTGCAAAGTTTCCCTGTCTGCGATTGGCAATGGAACTCCATCTCTTGGTTGAATTTCATGAGTTCAGAAGCTCCAAATAGAGGGATCAGGCTCCAAATCTACATGTAGAGGGTTGAGGTGTCTCCTTCATCATGTGAGGGAGGTCACACACGCTTGCGACTCTCTAGTTTTGTCTTTCCCTCATTGGTGTCCACATGTATGTGGTTAAGTTCACAAAGTTTGGCGATGTGGTCTGCCGTAAAGCGTCGCACATTGTACATGTAGGTAGATTGACTTATCAGCAATGATTGACAATATTTATGTACAACACAGTTCAGCTCATGATACAGATGAGTAGGTATCACAAAGCCAATATTTCATGACGAATATACATGTACTGTATCAATGGGCCTTACAAACACACAATAGTAATGTCAACACAACGTCAACTCCTCAAAAATACAAGTTCAATCAATAAAAGAGGCACAGAAGCGTAATTCTTGGACTAAAAGAGACTTTTCAGTAGTTGGAGGTCACAAATCAATTTTGGAGGTCTTTCACACGAAAAAAGAGATATCTGGCAGCGTAGCTGTTCGCCACCATCTTGCCTCCTCATAGAGCTTGGACTGTTCCATTTACGTGTCAGTATGCAGGTAATGCCATAAACAACAGAGAATACCAACCAGCAGCTGCAGATGGTTGCATTGCTTGGATCATGATGCAAGTAGTATTTTGTAAATTTGTATCTTTTGTTAAATTTTGACTTCCATCACTGTACATTTTGTGGATGATCCAACTACCCTCTGTTTCTTTACTACAAAATATTACCACCCCTATAGTGTAATGGTATGGTCCCAGCTGCCAAAGAGGCAACATGGCTGCTGATTTCTGAGCTGGTTCAAGGGAGGTGATTTTGGCAAAATTAAAATGGCAGCTTTCCAGAGTCTAACCCGTTGATGTTTAGCCAAAATATCCTTTGGGCAAACATTTTACCGTTTTTAACGTGTTTGGTAGGTGTTGACGCTGTGTTGGTGTGTTGACAGTGTGTTGGCGGTCCGTTGCGTGTTGACGGTAATTAGTATGACCGGTATCAACTACCTTGAACAATGGACGGTAGCCAGAAGGGCACCCATATGCGCAGGAATAACAGCTCCAAAAGTTCACAAAATACAGTAAAATGCAAAAAGAGTTGGGTAGTAACTCACATAATGTTCCCCGACAAGGTAAAGTCAACAATGCACGGTTCGAAGCGCGACAAGGTTGTGGTTCTTGTCAGTTTATGTCAATACAGTTTCCGTGATTGTAACCACACGATCACATGGTCAGCCAAGAAAACCATCATGCCCGAAAAGTTGGTGATAATCCATAAAATCAATTAACATCTCAGTCCCTGAAGGCAATCCTGTCTATGACACCAGTGTAACAGATGACACTGTTACTTATTCAGTTCTGCTCTACAGGAGAAGAAAGTACGGGACGACACACCAACTACGATTCAAAGTTTAATCCTTCATGAGTGTACAACAATCAACACTATCTGCCATCTTTCTGCATACCCAACACAACATATCCCAGCATGCATCGATCATGACAGGAAGTAGAGTAAAAGTATGGAGGGCCTAAGCTGCCAAATTAGACCGTTACACACCTGCTGGCTGGTGTTGACAAGACTAGAGCTAGGATTGGTCGCACAGGCGTGGATGGTTAAAGGCTCAAGCTCACCTGCTGCTTCAAGTTGCTGAGACAAGCTAAGATTGGTCATTCATCATTCGTCATGACTCACAGACATGTACAAATACGTTCCTTCAGGGCAGGAAAATGCATCTTCATGAGAGCAGACTGTAGTCACAGCACTTAAAAGGATTACAAGAATATTCAACTTTGTTACATATTTGGCAATTCCGCACCATTTTGTTCACATTTACAAGCGACTCAATAAACATAAGACACTTTTCCGAAATGAAATGAATTGTTTTAAAGTCAAACTCTTGTAGAGTGGGCGGTCGGGGGGAAGCAGTGGGGTCCAGTCGGTAGATCAACACACTAGGGGGAGGGGGGTGAGGCACGCAGGTTCTGGGCAGACTAGATGGGATGGCACCATGACACTTCTGGTCTTCCTGTCAACCAGTTTAATTCTGTCAGGGCCCAGAGGGTCGCCTGTAAAAAACTAGTATCCAGTGTACAATAATTGAAGTTACATTCTAGGCAAGACAAAGCTTATAATATCATGCAAAGTTTAGGGATTAGAAGTATTGACTCGAGAAGTTTGGTACATCGAGTTGCGTGTGATTCAGTAATAAATTGTTCCCATCTCCATAATAAACAAGGCATGGGGCGACATGGCACATCAGGGGCAGAACACACACACCCATGCACCCGCACTTACAGTCAACCCCGGCCGCTGGCTGACGCAGACACACACACACATATACAAATCCACCCCCTCAGCACCATGAAGTCCTCAGCCTAGGATACTGTAATGTAATGCATTATCATTTTACCAAACATAACCCTAACCAAAATAGTTATTAAGAGACAATAAACCACTGAACTATATACATGTAGTACCAGAGCAGCTTCAGGCCAAGTCATCTTGTTACAATGTATAAAATTCACCTGCACTAGCGTACTGCGCAGTGCTGCTTTTGCGCATACACACATTTTCACTACACTGTCGTCCCGGTCCCATTTCAACGATGACCAGACGACACTAACCAAAATTATACCTTAAAAATCACCACTTTGGGTTCTCACCTTTCACCAAATATACTACCAAACTGGCTATGATAATGTGCTGTAAAAGTGAGGTACTTTACAATTAACAAATATGTCTATAGGTTACAAAATAAAGAAGTGAAAAATCGGTAAGAATTTATGACACAGTTACCTGTAAGAGTTGTGCATGTGCTGCCTTGTCAAGGCGCACATGGTTTAAGATACGTAAAATATAACGCGTAGATCGCGTCACACAAATTACTGTGGACAACATAAAAATGGGTGATTTCATTAACTACACGTGTAGAGTCAAACCTCGCCAGAGTTAAAGTTTGTTGGGAAATACGTTTTAGTTTGGGGGGACGAGTCGGTCTCATTTCTTGCTGGATACACGAGCCAGAAAAAATCGCCCTTCGCAAGATTAATAGGTTTGATTTTCACAAAAGTGGTGTGGAAATTACCGGGAAGAGTCACTCTAAACTTCCTGAAGGCTCAACTCATGAAGTAAATGCACTACAGTGATATAAAATGTGACGCTCCCAGCCCTTTTAGAGTCAGTTACATATCGAAGTGCCATGAATTTCTGTGGGAATATGTTCCTTTGAGCTCCTCTTTTATTGCCTAATAATGTTAATTAAATCATCACTGTTAAAGCATCGACCTTTTCAAAAGGTGAGAGGTTAACAGCAAATAAGGCAACTAAATAAGAGGATTAATGAAAGAGAAGAAAGATCGTAAGCACATTGTAATTATAAATTAAGTTCTGAAACCTGCAAGAATATCAAGGTAACGTGGCCGGCAGAGGACAGAAATTAACAAATTTGCTTGACGTCAGAGAATATTATTTAAAGTGAAATTAAACAGCAATTACCGAGCTAGGCAACTTGTGTTATGTGAACCAACTTTCTTTAAGGCAAATGATTCTATAATCAAAGTGGGGTCATATTAAACTGGGGGATACTACTAACTCAATACCCTCAGTAAATCAAGAATAAACGTGAAACAAAATGTAGACAAGTGAAAGCTCATAGTTTAATCTGAAATCCTTTAAACAAGGAAAAAGGACAAATCTTTACCACTTTACATTTACATGTACATGTCGCATGTCTGGATTTACATGTTCTAGGCAAAATCACATCAATAATCGGATTTATACATTCCGGTTTCTGACTTTACTGGACAACGAGGGTGGCAATGACTGAACACAACCCAACCAAGAGAATCACGACACCTGCTTACATGATTATTTTTTTACTACTTTACTCCCTTTTATTTATTATTTGTGCTGGCCGGACTTAAACGTGGGCTTCAAGTTGAGACCGGCACAGAGATTCGTGATTAATAACACATGACATAAATATTCTCATGGATATTTATCATGCTGCACCTTCTAATGTGATTGGTTGATATCACCCACGTGACTCCGTAAGAGCGAAACTCCACTTATTTGGCTAACAGTACTACAGTCGGACGCCCTCCCTCTCCAGCTTTGTCCCATCCGGCTCTCTCGCTCCTCCCCCACCATCGAGGGCAGGCGTAGGCCGCACAGCAGACATTTGGACTGGAGTCATTCTCCTCCATCGTAGACATTTTGAAGTCATCTTCCAACATGACAAGGGTACATCAGGTTGTAGTTCTTGCATTCATCGTGTTCGGGATTTTCACCACTGCGACGGTGAGCGACAGTCTCACCTATAAGAAGGGAGCCCAACCCGTCTACCAGCAGCAAATCATCATCAACTCACTGGATGAGCTCTCGTACCCCAGGGCCACCTTCGACTTCACCAAGGTCGGAGAAATTGTTGCCGATGAACTGCAGAACACGACTCGCTGGCTGGCTCAGATGGAAACAAACATCGCTGGCAAAGTGCACGCCTTGTCGGCAGAGTTGTATGCTGTCAAAATGCAGCTGGACCAGATTACGGAATCAGTCAAAGAGCTTGTTGAACTCCTGAAAAACACAACGGGTAGGGCTCAAGAATTAGCTGCATCACCCCAACCGACAACCCATCCCTGTTAATAAACGAGGCTTTCCCAGTTGTGCCGGTCACGCGTCTTCAGCGGCTATGTTGGATCTTTGGCAATAGAAAAAGAAAGGACTTGGTCTGGTCAAGCTGGCACGTCATCAACATTTTCTAAATCAGTTGAAATAAAATGGCTACTTAATTGTTTTGCCAAGAATTATTCTCCGCCAGAGTGGAGAAATTTAATTCAATTGAACTTCAATTTAGTACAGGGGAAATTGGCTAGTCAACACGGGAACTTCGTGGCTGTTGGGGCTTTGTAAGGGATCCATCTTGATGTCTCCCTTGCAAAGCCCATGTCCATGCAGCTTGGACGGTACTCTTTTATTCTACACAATAACCTCCTTTGTTCGAGTCCTATGGAACAAATGCACGGCATGAAATCCCTCAATTGAAGGTACAATCGGTTTATTGAACGTGCATGAGCGAATCAAGTTCAGACAGGTGAAGTTCTAGGCATATCATGACGCTATTAACGTTATTCAGTTCGTCGATGATGTTGATTGGTTGATGTTAAACTTGTTTGCTTTTGTGAATTGCAGTTACCCCTCCTACATCACCGGTTACCCCTCCCACACCCTTCAAGGACTGCTCTGAAGCCTTTGCAAGTGGTGTGACTACCAGCGGTGTGTATACGGTTAAACCTTTGGATAATGAAGGTCCATTCAGAGTGTACTGCGATATGGAGACAGACGGTGGTGGATGGACGGTAAAAAAGTTCTTAACACTTTTTATGGGGCTTTTGACTAACCCTTCAAATTGCTATGAATGAGTTCGAATAAACCCTAAGCTCGCACCCTCTGACCACAGACGCCCCGCTTATATACAGACCAAACCACGTAAACTGTGCGTCACATCCACGTGACCAAAATAGCTATTTCTGGCAGGAGAGGTCGGAAGGGCCCGGAATGTTTACAGCCCCAGATCGGGCTAGGGCCGGCACATGTCTGCACACGTACACTAAGAGATCTAATTACTGCACCAAGCTATTGGGCACCTTGGGAATGCTGGTCCTTCGCAGGCCGTATTCCACAGTGGTTAGGGCTAGGTTTAAGGGGCTCTGCAGTCTTGAAGCATATTGGTAACCGATAGGCTAATGTTTGTTTAAAGGAGGGCGAGGTTGACGTTGATTACAAGTCCAGACTTCTTCAATGAAACAAGCTACAAAATTGTTAAAGAGTGCCAGATTCAAGGGCAGATCCGGTGGGGGGGGGCAACGGGGGCCATGTCCGCCCCAAAAACAGATGAGATTTTTTTCTCAATCAAAGTGACGACATTAAGTGTGTCACATGGAGTTTGTATTGTGTGGACAGAGCCATTTTGTTCCAAAAAAATTGCTCAATTGGATTCCGAGCTTTCAAGCAAAATCGGGACGCAAAGCGAGGCAACATCAGGATGATTGAAATTTACAAACCTGGAACGAAAATTTGCAATTTGACGAGGGCAAAAAATGCTACACGTCAGTAGGATTCCCTATCACTGCCCAGATATTCTTGGGTAGTAACATTAAAAAAATGGTTTCAAACGTTTACCATTCCGTCCCATGTACCCTTCAGAAATCACTCAACTGACAAAGTGCACCGACAGATTTTTGGATTTGTTAATAGGTGTTCCAGCGGCGTCAAGATGGCTCCGTTGATTTCTACCGTGACTGGGAGAGTTACCGCCAGGGTTTCGGTAGTCTAGACGGTGAGTTCTGGCTCGGCAATGACAACCTGCATCGACTCACTGCTCAGGGCGCGTACCGACTGCGCGTCGATCTCGAGGATTTCGAAGGCAACACTGCCTATGCCAAGTATGACACGTTTCGTGTTGCTGATGGGAGTGATGACTACCGGTTGACGGTAGGAGGTTACTCAGGAACGGCTAGTAAGTCTCTGCTTTGGTATCTTTCAAACTAACCTTTTAATAGATGAATTAAAGTTTCAGTAGCATAATTTACTTTGAGAATGATTTTTTATGTAAATATGAACATCTCAGTTTACTCGTCAAATGTGAAAAGAATGAACTTGTTTTGTTAAAATCGATGGGTTAAGGAAAATTTATTCAGACGTGATCGAATTCGTAAACTTAGATAAGATAACCTGAGCATTATCAACAAACTGCACATCATAGTTTATCCGCTTCGAGCAGAAGCGGATAGCATCCGTTGTAATTCGGGGCCATTTTGCTCATGTATCATTTTTGGCATCAGTGCAACTGTAACGCTAGACGTGGAATCAATTCGGGTGTAGTCCGCCCGCCTTCTAAGTTCGCTATGCGTACACGGTGCGTCCACTTTAATAACCCCAACATGCGTGTTCGGCGGCATTCAGGGCACGATATGTGGCAAAGGGGACCCCTCCCCCATTGTGTCTTCTTTTTAACGGAATCTTTGGAATTCCTTTCAGATTTACGGGGAGGGGGTGCAGTAGGCGCAATAGCCTTAGGGTATACATGTACAGCTTGTGCATCACATTTAGGGGCCCCCTTTGCCACATATCGGGCTGGATATATCGGCGGAGCCCAATTACCAACTTGAACAATCTGCAAGCCCTTCTGGGCACAACACGTGTGGCGTGCTACCAAAACTGGACGGAGCACTCTGATTGGCTAAGAATCCCAATGATTTGAATATTTATTTTAGGCGCAGTTTGATTGGTCTTGAACGTTTATTAGCAACAACCACAGTCTCGTTCATTGAAGGGGGTGTTTGCATTATTCTGAAAAGATGATTTACCATAAAAGCATCGGTTCTTTTTGCCAAAAAAGATAGTTAATAGATTTGTTCGTGAATAGTTATGTTGTATACTTTGTCGTAAGCATCGAATAGAAATGAAGAAACTGACATTAATCTAATACAGACATTATTATATATTATATGGGTGAACTGCTATGTAGCGTGGGTGCTATTGGCGCTCTCCATGGTAACGTATGAATATGCAGGTTTGCAACCCGAATATTCACCCGAGTCTGGTTGATCAAGTCGGTAGGCGGGTACTGAAACCCGGTACTGAAAAGCTAGCGTCGTATCCGGGTCGAATCAGCGCAGCACGCTAGATGGCGGGCAACGGTGAATTACGGATTCAACAACAAAGCGTATTGACTCATATTTTTCTGGATGGCAAACACAACCGACTAACGAATTGACTTCAAGTCTACCATAACGCGTGCATTTTATTGTCGCTTTTGAACTGACGAAGTTCAGTTCCGACCAAAGGAGCCTCTGTTGCTAAGAAAAGTGCGTCCTCTCTTGGTCCAGCTTGCTCATGGTCTTTAGTAAATTTCAGTATCATGTGGTGTTTGTTTAACAGTGCAAATTATTTTCATCTCGATTTATCGCAGGTGATTCATTTTCTGTTCACTCGAACTATCCCTTTACCACCAAAGACCGCAATAACGAATCCAATTCTCACAACTGTGCCGTACGGTACACCGGAGCCTGGTGGTACTGCTCGTGTCACGACACAAATCTGAACGGCCTGTACCTTCGTGGGCAGACAGATCAGTACGCCAAAGGTGTCGTCTGGCAACATTGGAAAGGGGATTACTACTCACTGAAACGTACCGAGATGAAAATTAAATTAGCAACTCGTTAGCTCGATGAAGTTAGTTCTTACTGATGTCAGAGGTAGAAGACAGTAAGTGATATAGGCCTAGTTTGTCGATAACACCTTGTAAAATATCTCTTTTGTGAGTTTGTGTGGTTCTGAAAAGGGCCGGAGGCTAATACTTTCCGGACAGAATCCACAGTCTGGGGACTCACGACTTTTTCTTCTTTCTGTCACCTCTTCTTCGACTTTTTCTGTTTTGATGAATACATTTTGAAGGGAGGAATGATAACTTACAATATGTCTCGCTCGTATATTCGTGTTCATCTGCATTAAAGGCTGCCCCGTCCACGCGCCCCCGGTTTTGTAAAAGTATGATCCTCCACTGTCAGTGAAGAGGTTTATTTTCCTAATCGTCTTCATCCCCTGGTCGAAAGTTCAACGTTGTGGTGCTTCCACAGAAAATATTTTCGCGTTAAAAAAAACATTTCCTGTTTATGGGCCTGCCCATTTCTGGACTGTAATGTGGTCAACAGTTAAGTACACACGTTTCTTGGCATGCTCTGTGGCACATAACTGGTGGGACAAGTGCGTTTATCTTGGAACCTTGCAAATTAGAAAAGACGTTTGTTCTGCTGCAAAAAGGGCAAAACATCTCATTTATTCCGAAATAATCAAATCAAATCTCTTGTCAATTTTGGTCAGTTTTAACTCATTTTTGCCGCGTTGAAGGAGATGAGATCGGTTTCTGGTTGGAAGGTTTCGTTATTTCAGGTTGGTTACCCGTATGAATGATCCGATAAACTGTTATTCTGAATTTCATGAATTCGTAAGTTTCATTTAGAAATATTTGCACCCAGGGGGGGGGAACTAAGGTGCGTTTGTTGTATTATATTGGCAATAATCTTACAGCGCCACATTCTAGCTTTAATCCTGACTTTTTCTCATTAAAACATACTGGATAAAAATGAAATCAAGAAACTTGGGCGCCATTTTTGAATTCGGTGGACCCACAGCAGTCAATCACTGACAGCGGTATGATCGTGTGTTATGGCCCCCACAATCCCTTCTAATGGCAATTAAATTGATCAGTGGGTGTCCCCCGGTCCCTGCAAATAAAAATAAACGCAGAAAAAAGGTTAGAGTAGGGTCAGGATACCCTTTTTCTTGTCAAGAAGGGGGGCCTCAACGGCCAAGCCACAGTCAACGAGAAGGTTGGATAAATGTTTTTAATTCCCTGAAACTTGGCACAATGTAGTACATATATTGTTACGTAGACAACACAGTCAAAATGAGTCATTTCGTTTAATGAGTGGTACATGCGGTGCCTATGCGTAGAGAGCCAGGTGTTCTTTCCCTTTGAAAAGAACAGTTTCCAGGGCAAAGAAAAATCAGTAAATTTGCCGTGAAGTACCAGTGTAGCACAGTGGATTCACAAAACAAACAAAAACAGTCACCGAGTGGTGAAGTCATTGCGGTTTCTCTTTTTTTTTCTGTGTTTGTTGAATTTCGCCGACCCGCTATTTTTAGCTGCGTTTAGTATTACCCATTTATTCAGAATCCTATAACTGCACGCAGACAACGGCACCCGTCAAAGGGTTTGGAATTTGCAACGATGGTAAACAAAAGAACAGAGCAAAACAGCAGCATTCTGCGTGGAAATACTGAAAAATTTACCTTGGTTGTTATTTACTTGTTTTCCGTAAGAGTTATTCGGCAGTTCTGTTATTGGGATTTAACAAATGGTGTCACCTATAAGAAGTAGATGTATAACCTCATTATATAAGATTAAAAGATTGTTAAATTTATGCAAGTGATTTATTTGAGGGAGATGGAGCAGCAACACGTGCAAAGTACATCACATCATGCAGAGTTTGTGTGAGAGATGATTGCAAACCGAATGGAGTGTTCAGTCGAGTCCTTGCACAGAGCTGTAATGGATTTCATATTGCTTTCACATTTACTATTAATTACTCTTGTAAACTATTGCCATCTTGTGAAGCATTAAGTTATGCCGGTTAAGTCTTGTATGATTTTACCCAGGCTAAAATAGCCAGGCGATTCTTCGACCCATCTCACAGCCAGGGGACGGAATCCACCCCCCCTCATACGAGATACTATCTCGCCGCGGCGAGTTACAATCTCGCTGCGGTGAGTTAGCTAAAACTAGCTCAACTTGCTGTATATTAAGACTCAGTCTGGATACCAGACCCAATGATTCCGAGTACCCTTCTAACCAAGGATCATGTATCATCCAATGTCCACGTAACCAATATTCCTCCAGGTTTCCCGGAATAGTTGCTCTATTCTGAACCTATCCTGTCCATATTAAATTCAGTTTAATGTCAACACTTTTGTAATGTTCCTTTAAACTGTAAAAATTATTACAAAGATTAAAATGAATGAAATTGGTAGCCAAATACGTAAAGGGAGAAGATGAAGACCTTTCGGGGGACATCAGTAATGTTTGGGCATCTGTGATTCCTCTCTTCCTTATAAATGACGGTAAATGCAAAACAGAAAACTTCAAGTTGCATTCTGTCTAGGGTAACCTACAATATGATATTCAATTTGGGAAGTACATTCCCCAAATCCCGTTCTAAAAAGGAGAAATGTCACAGCGGAACGATAGGCCTACGGCGCTTCATTCAGGGTATGTAAACTTTCGACCTCAATTGTGTAAGCGGGAGTTCAACTACATTACCTCTGTGCTGCCGTCTGCTTTATTTGCTTTTAGCCATGCTATACATAAAACGCTGTAAATTCCAGGTACACGCAATTTGTCATGTACCATGCGCCATGTATAAGGAGCCTGTACCATTCGGTTTATATGGATTTCAATAGTCATACATTAAATTAAATTCGTGACATATTAAATTCCTTTAAAAATGGCAACATGCCTTCTGGGGGATATCAAATTACCTCTCCCCTCCCACTGGATGCAGCATAGTAGCCAAATCTTTAAAATTAACACAGGCGGTTCTGTAAAGGGGTACACAGAAATGCAGGTCCTTCTACAGAAAGTGGTACAGCCCCATTCTTTGCATTTGTGTGTATGTTGGTACGCTAGACTGAGTTTTCTAATTATAGTATGCTATAAAAGCAAACCCAGCCACAGGTCACCGTCAAGGGATCGAAGGGCTGAATCACCGGAATCAGGCGAGACTGTCAGGCTTGTATCCCTCTTTGCTCTGTACCACTTCAGATCAAGGGAAACAGCGCATATTGTGGTCTTTCCGTCAGATGTTGAAGCAGAGCATTCTAGGAAAAAGAGTACGAGTGAGTAAACCTTGATATTCTCTTACAGTGAATGCGGCCAAAGTCCTTAATCTGAAAGGTAACTGATAATTCATTCTCAAATTGCTGTGTGCTTTATCAATAATGGTAAAGGAACGGCTGATTTAAGTCTCTAAAGTGTTCTTGTGCTAAAGTGGAAAAATAAAAAATACTTCTCAGAAACACTTATTTCTTAATGTGAAGCCACTTTGCCTAAAACGATGGTCTCATCAGATGCAACAGTTGCTGCCTCAACGATTTGAACAGATTTAGTCAGCAAAATCTGTGTATTTATATACTCTCTACCAGTCTACCACAGTCCGTTAATTGAGCCTGGTCACCATCTACAATGCCATCGCCTGCTCTAACTTAATTAAGGACTTTATCCTTTGACCGATCAAAAATGCAACTACATGAAAACAATGACCGATATCATTTTCTGTTAAAGTTTCATCCCCTCATTTCAACGAAACACAAATGTTTGAAACAGGTCAACCGGCAGTTTAACAGTACCCTCAGCCGCACAATTTTGTGGAACTCGGAAAGAATGTTTAATCAGTATTTCAACTGGCCTTCATTACCTCTTGGTATACTTGATCCACTGACCACTACATGTTATAGAAACATAAATATTATCCTGTAACATAGCCCGTTTGAAAAACAAAACATCAATTTTCCGTTGTAGTGTTCTTCAACACTGTCCGTACTCTATAGAACGAACCGCAGAATCTCAAAATGCAAAGCAATGCACAATCAAAATTCCCCATGAGTTATAAACAAGGTTATCGTTTCGATTTCAGTATTAACCATATCCTGAAAAGTATCTGCCAGCGTCGTTTTTTTTTCCAATTAAATTCATTCCTTTTTCATTGCATCTTCACTGCTAGCAGCATATTAGACCAGTGCATGGAAAAAATACTTAACTTGAAACCACTTCATTCACACATTTGTCTTCTCGTTGGGAGTCCCTTTATAAATGACAGTATGGAAACTATTAGAAACAACCGTTTCTTAAGGAAATTTAGTGAACATAATAAAAAAATTACTTGACGCAGACCAAGACAGCTTAGAACAGAGACTGTTGACCTCCCGATGCATATGCGTCTTGTCAACCAGAGTACAACTTCCTGGCGATTTCAGAACTTTTTCACATTTCAATGCAGGTATAAACTAGAACGCAGACAATGGGAAATCACCAATCCAACACTTGCCTTCCGCTTGATGAAACCTCCGTGTATGCTAAGTTCGAAGACGACTGGTTTGCTCTGGGCGTTTCATGGCGGGCCTATAAGGGCACCTTTCATTGTAGCAGAGAGGTGGAGGGAAATCGGTGCGTGGTGAAGGTGTACAAAGAACAATGGTACGAAAGGCTGGGAGAGGAAGCCTACAGAGCTGATTTACGGGCCTCATACAGAGCCGTCGAGATGGCGAACATTTTCAACCGAACGCACCCAACCAACAAGCCGATCACATTCGTCATGCCAAGAATCTCCAAAATCAGCAAATGCACCAGTTTCAACTTCCTTGGATTTATTTCCATTCCTAAGAACGTGTAGGGGAAGTTGGCAGGAACCCAGGCTCCTGCCTCGGATATGATTCCCAAGGGTGCTACTGTGGCGATCGAGGATTACCTGGAGGGCGAATACGTCAAGTTCCTGAGCAACTCGTCCTACGTGAACCCCGATGTAGCCGCTTTCTCCCCGTCTGCGTTCAGTCACTTCACCTTTCATGAATCTCGCGGGCAGATCCTGGTGTGTGATCTGCAAGGCGTGCGTCGCTCAAACGGCTATCTGTTAACTGACCCAGCTGTCCACAGTCTGAGGCAGGGTGGTGGCATTGGTTTTTATGGCCCCACAGACCTAGGGATCTTCAGCATGGTCAAGTTCTTTCAAAATCACCAGTGCAACTCCATATGCGAATGGTTTGTGACGCCAGATGTGTCGAACATTCCACCAGATGTGGCAGCAGACGTCACCCGCATTCTGCAGTCCATACGGATCAAAGGTAGCTCCACGTTCACATACGAGCTGGATAAGTCCGGGCTGGGTCGTTCGCGTGTACAACTCGTTGGGAAAGAGTTGGCTTCATCAATGACAGTCGGCCGTAATCGCAGACCTGGAGGTCTTTCGTTTTCGGCATCGGAGACTCAAGGCGCTGGAGCTTTACTACGGAGAGAAACAATTTTGGACATAACGAAAATGATTATAGCTGGAATCTTCATTATTGCTGTTGTGAAATGGTTATTCCAAAAATAAAATGTTAACAAAAAGGAATCAACAAAAGGAAAACAAACCGAGGATGAAAAATAGAGGGGGGGGGGGCTCATAGGATGCTGTAGGCACTGCTAACCTATAATGTCGGCTAAGATTAACACTGCCAATTATACACTCTTTATTGTCCGGTTTGTCCTTTCTCACTCCTCAGCAGTTTCAAATCGACATCTAACAAAATGGGTGATTTTTTCGAATCGAAAAAAAGGCTGCCAAAATAATCTCTAATTGCACGTAAAACTTTAGAAATTCCTTTGACTGTGTACTGTCTTGCTGAACAAGCCATTTTGCAAATTAATCACGTAAACGTTCTTGTCAAGAAATTTCAAGAAGGGAAACACAAGTGACAAAATTTGGTATAATCTTCCTTTGTGGCCATGCTGCACGTAGACATCGATTTAGTTAAAATTTAGTTCAATGCAGAAATTGTATGTGCCGCAATGTGTTAGTGTTTGAAAGGAGTGTAAGCGGAATTTCACTTTCATAACTAAACATAACTCCCTTCTTTTCTTGGTACTTTCCTGTTTAGAAATTTGTATTTAATGGAGGGTGTAACTTTGTGTATTAAATCAAAAGACTGTATGCTACAATTGCGATGTGCTTCGCCCTTAGAAATGTATTAAACAGTGCAAAAATGTATTTTTCAAGGGTATAAAGAGACGTTACGTGGCAGATCACACAAAAGCTAAGGACTCAGGTAGAGACGAAGAAAGAACATGTTATGACCAAAAATAAACTCGCGTCAAGTCAAGCCGACTGAATGTCGGCTTTGTGGTGTATAAAGGACGGGGAATTCTCCGTTCAATCCCCCACGTGAATACAATCATGTGAAATGAAGCAATGAACGAGGGGCAAGGGCTCAACGAGACTAACGTACCGCACATTTGAGGACGAGAAGTCACTGTTCAATGACTAAAGTACTTTGGTATATTATGGAACTGAGTCCTAAGAGTTTTAGTGTGATTGTGTATTCAAGGTTTACATACACTTTGGACCGTGTTTATTTACAATTGTTAAACCGTACCAATTTGCTGCGACCATTTTAATGACCAACCATTACCTCAACTCATGGCAAGCCCAGAAAAAAGTTTAAGGCAGATAAGTAGCTATTGTCCACAACCGATACCGCGAAGATTAATTGGGCTCTTGTCTCAGTTTCAAGCATTACATTTCTTGCCAGCTTTGGTCATGTGAGACACTCACATTTTAGAACATATTTCATGATTTGAGGATTGCTGCATTCCACAGGGCATTGATTTGTTTCCCTCAATTTGTTTCTCAGCTTAGGTATGAATCACATTATTTCTTTGCATTGCCGATTTATTGGAAGTAATTACAGAACTCCCATACTGATTCCTAATTGTTTATTGAGTCCTGCTTAATGATTCTGTTGTGCACGTTTCAACACTATTTGGTGTGTTTTGAGATGTGGTGGAGATGATCGGAATTAATTCAAGTTCTTTGGTGCCTTGAATTGTACACGAACGTGCGATCATTCTGCCTTCCTGAAGATATCCCCAGCCTAGTTTTGAAATAATTGAGAAGGCATGTTTCTTGGTAAGTAACAAATCTGGTAGCTTTTACATTGTCTTGTATGCATCGAAACAGTCCCCAGATACTTACACAAATACTTCCTCATATCACAAAGATTGTAAATGCATCTTTATCAGAGGCTTACGTTCCGGCTTCTCTAAAGACCACATATTTGCCCATTTTAAGAAGTCTAGTTTTGACTCTAAACAATTACGCAGCTATCGCCCTATATCGAATGTGCCTTTTTGTCGAAGATTATTGAAAAAATTATGGTTGATCAACTGGATGAACTTGTTGATGATTGTGATTCAATTGAAGTGTATATTAGTGTGCGTACAAACCATTACATTCCTCAGAAACTGCCTTCATGAGATTTCAATTGGATTTACTAAGTGAATTAGACAATGGGTTCATTGTCATATCCCTGATGAAGAAGAAGAAGTCTGAAGTATAATTGAATATAGATATATGTAAATAAGAAAAATACCAGTTTTAATAGTCTGTGCAATGCAGTCACTTTAATAAAAACCTACAAAACGCACCCCTCTGTCAAAGGTAGCTTCGTTATAAGTGTTTGTTTCACCCCGTAAAGGTTATATTGCTCTCTTTTCGGTTTTCTCCAAAACGATAGTTCCTCTGCAAAAATGTGATGTCATCCGTTATGACAATTTGCATGTTCTCTGCAGCACTGTCTTGTTGGCCGTGCAACACATGTTTCGTGACCAAGGGAATTCCCAGGATTGAGAAATCCTTGCCCATTTGCATGTTACCAGGCGGGTTGGTTTTGTATTACATATCTGTCTAGGAATGCACTATTTTCCATGGGGAATTGTGAGCGACGGTAGTCAGAGGAGACTAGTCTTTTTATTTCCCTAAAAAAAGCCAAATCCGCCAGAGCTACAATTTTACCTCTTTTCAAATAGAGTTCCCCGAGCGTGACGCGTAAAAGAGAAATAAAAAATACACGATACCTACTGGTTCTGTATTACGTAATAATTCGTATGAACACCATAACTTTGATTTTCTGCAGCATGCTTTTGCTTGGGTGTGACAGTTGTTCAGTCAAACTGTAATTAGTATTACAAAGCTGTTCTCTTTGATAAGATGGTAACGGTGTTGCTACGGAACGCGTCATTTCTTGCGCTCTGATATTTCTTGTTTTCTGAAAGTTTTGTTGATCTACATATATTATTGTCATGGTTTATTATTAAAATCCCATCATTTACAGCCCAAAGCTGCTTAACAGAGATTTTCCATTTCATGAAATAAAAAAGTAACAGTAATTCAATATAAATTAAGAAATATACATTAAATAAGAGCTAAAACACGAGGGAACAATTAGGAATTGATCAAATCAAGTGAGGGAGGTTATTGTATATCGTTAATCGCATCCAGTTGTCTTTGGTTGGGGGTATACACGAACAGATGCAGAAAACTGTCGCAAAATGCAGACAAACTGTCGAACACAGAATCGGAGTTGTCTCCCAACCTCCTGCTTTCATTGTTGGACAGACCTCGTCCCTGTTATTCTTGTGGGTAGACCACAACACTAGTGCAAGTATTTATGTCAGTTTTTCATCGTGTGGCCATCTTTGATTGGAAGGAGTTCATTAGGCCTAATTAGTAGGAAACAAAAGTGAAAAAATGACTGTTTAAAAAGTGCAACATTGCCCGCTTTTAACTTCGTTTCCTTTGTTTTAGCGAAAAAGATGTGAGTAAAAGCACGAAAATGTAAAAGAAACCTGTGAATGAAACCAATTTCAGACTCTACTATTCTCTCCTAAAACTGATCAACTTTATTATTTTAATTCCAAAGTAAAAACAAAAGCTCGAACTAAACATATGCAACAACTTGCGAGGCAGAGGTTAAAGTAAATTCACGAAATATCAGGACTCCTGTGTTGTAGGGTGTCAACCATCACTTGAAACAGACTTCCCATGGGTTTAATGGTAGGTTTACTCTTCAAAACAAATTGCCACAACTAAATCAGCATCGTAAAACGGGATTATAGGCAACTAATTATGCCCTTGATGTGGCATAATTACAGGTTACCAAACAAGTCATTAGCGGCAGAGCAGTTTGCGTCTATTGTGTATATGTTTCACTAAAGGCCTAAAGAACAATTCACTGAGACCAGAAATATTTCCAAGTCAGACAGGTGGAAGGCGAGCTTGGTGGGACAAATGCAGCAGTATGGTTTATAAACGCTCCAAAGCCTTCTAATCAATACACATATTGGATTGATGACAGTCAGAGTGAAAATCGGCCCAAATGAAAACATCACAATGAGAAAGCCTGAAAGAGAAAAATCGTGCTGTTCTCATAGATTATTGAACATATTGATTTGAACACTGGACGAATTGCCTTCAAATATACATTTGTGTTAAAGCAGATTTCTGCCCAATTTAGATCGATATTAGAAATGAGTCTTGCAGTTGCTTTTTATATACATTCCCAATTCTGTAGCCGACATGACTATTATAAATTACTTTACTTGTACACGTAACCCAGTGCTGTCTGCAGGGGCGGAGCACAGGCACTTTCTTAAGGGGGGTGTGGTGCCAGAGTCTATTTGCCGACTTGTTAGTTGCCAACCTCGTGTCGTGTAAAATCGAAATCCCTAGAACGCTACTCTTCATGCGTCAGGGGAAATGCCGACGGCCACCGTATATCATTTACGTACCAATTTTAGATTGATTTACCTAGTCATATTTTAAGACCTATAAAGTAGCACAATTACTGCTTACCACATTCGATCAAAGCACAGGTAATCTGAAATACCTTTCTGGTGTCACGTGAAAGTTTAAAATAACATTCACTTATGTTTGCGCAGAACTGTCAATAAGTTCATACTCGGGAGTTCCATGCCCAGATTCACAGTGAACTATCTGATTCACAGTGAACTATCTGAGCTGTTATGGCCAATTACACAACACCCCATTTCGCAGTACTCGCCATGCCCACCAAAAAGCGCGTAAGTTCATTTTCCTTAATCAGCGCCCGCAATCGGTTTCTGCTATTGCGCTGGTAATTGAAAATGTTGCCCTTTCTTGGTCCAGCTCGAGGAGCAAAATTCACTGTAAAAATAACGAACAGCAATTTTGCTTCCAATCTGAAGCGTGCCGCTCCAAGGACACACCATACCTGCGGTGGCGTCACACTTACAAGCACATTCTTCAGTTTGACGTGCGCGCGCATTTGGCAAATTTTGGTCGTGTCCGAAACGGGCTTCCAGAGCTACGGCTAAGTCTATTGTCTATGCGTCTCCACGCATTTCCAATGGAGCGAAGACCTAGACCTAGCTCTGGACAAGAGATCCGGATCCAGCCTCAGACATCCCATCTGTCGAACAGGCAAGTGAAGCGCTCATACCACCTGTACCACCGTTGTGCGACCACAGTAATTTCTTCTAATTAGCCTTTTAGTGGTATTGCAAACACAATAGGAGGGCGCTATTTGGTTTGGGTAAAATCTTTAGTGTTTGCTCCAAATTTACCACTTCAAACAGCGCCCTCCTATTGTGTCCACCATATTTCTAAAAGGCTAATTCTGGTCGTCGAATTACACCATATACAACTCTGCCCGTGGCTAGAGCTGTATAGACGTAGCACCAAGTTTAGAGTTTGGAACAGGAATGCTTGGTTATTATGTTTGTAGCAAAGATTCTGTTATTGTGTGCTAACTGTCCATGTGCACTTACGCATGGGCCACTATTCTGGCTCCAATAATTGAAACGCCCATGACACGAATTTCCATAAACAGCTCTGCCTATGGCGTTGATGAGGTGCCCTCACAAAGCCAAATTAACCGAGCGAGATAGGGCAGTTTTCTCATTGTTGGCTTAATTATCGTGCCCGACTTTGCCTCCAAAACTGATTGCCGATTGTAGCCATGAGGCTTTCAGATGAAATCGGAGTACTGCTTTTTGTGTGGATATGTGTGTGTGTGCCTACAACACTATCGGACTTATCAATATTATTGAGGTACTTTCACAGTAAGGTGCTTAAAAGGGGAGAAAAAAATGAAGCCTACGTCGGAGACGAAGTCGAGTATTGGGAAAACGGCGACAGACCACAGCTGGTTTCGATGCCTTGCCTTAGGGTCGGGTACCCATAATACGTAATAATTTTGGTATAAACTTCTGTGTAGGCCTACAGGTGATCATTCCGTTTAATCGACGTTTTGGCAACAGCAGGGGAACAGTGTACCAAGCCTATTCTCTACGGTGAATGCATAAACAAACTCAAGTAGCTCTTCAGTCCGAACTTTGGCTTTGTTTGCAGTTATTTGTGCCTCGGTCTTTGGCAGGAAATAACAACTTACTAAGAAGATCATAGCGCGGTGACATATCACTACGTTCATATCTGATACCAACCCAATTCCAACATTACCCCCAATATTTATACAGTCGAACCTTGCTAATAAGAGGTCCTTTGGAATTGGCAGATTACCTTGTTATAACAGGAACCTTGTATTATCAGGAATGAAAACGGTCAAAAACAAAAGATTGGGACCTAAAAATGTCCTTGTTGAAAGCAGAATCTTGTATTAACAGTGATCTTATGAACGAGGTTCTACTGTATTTGTATTGTGATTCAGATGTGTAATAAGATAAAAAAGGATCACTTAAACCCTCTATTTGTAAAATGTCATCCCTTTTGAGTTTATTCGGTATGGAATTTCCTGTGTCAGCTCATATCAGCCTCTTGAACCTCAAATTACACCAAGGTGGACTACTGAACTGGAGCCATTACAAATTAAAACAGGTAATCACCCACTTCTGATATTTTGATACTAAACAAGTCCGTTACCGTGAGTGGACCTCTGGGTTTCTGCTCATATCGTTTGTATATCATCGTTGTGCTGAAACTGCTTCATAAACAAGTAACCATAGATTCAATTTATGAAATGTCCGGAAGATTAAAATTTGTTATAACTACTTCGAGCCGTTAATATTAGAACCCATTTCAAGATCGAAATCAAAGGAAGAAAAATAATAGACGAGGAAAATACTCTTAGCATATTTTAGAGAACGTTGCTTATTCAGCTCATTTTAGAGAACATTTTCTTGTCAATTACCTTTATGAACACAACTCCATGTTGAATACGAATTCCAACATGAGACCTGAAGTTCTGCGCAGACTCAGAAATCACAATCTGCCCCCCCTAAAGACAGATGTGGCAACCAGAAGTTGGCAGGCATATCTTGTTACTTAATATATAAAAAGAGAGAATTCTTTGGCATGCAAACAAAATAATTCAGTAGCAATTGATTTTCCTGGAAGAGACCTTCAGTCTATAATTATCGTGGCACCCACTCTGTCTCAAGAGTCCCACTCAGTTCTGAACACGAGCTGACGTTCCAATGTAGCCTTTGCGGTGCGCACTCGTCGTGATTAATAGCACATGATATAAATATCCATGATGTCATGCTGCACTCTTAATTGTGATTGGTTGATATCACCCACGTCACCCTGTTAGTGCGAAACACCACTGTTTTGGCTTGTTTACAGACAGGCTTAGAGCCATAGACTAAAAATTAGTGGCATACGCTTGAAGTGGCAATTCTTCACTTCTGAGGTATTTTGAAGTCACCTTCCAACATGTCAAAGGTACAGAAGGTTGTCGTTCTTGCATTAATCGTGGTTGGGATTTTGACCACCGCAACGGTGAGCGACAGTCCCACCTATAAGAAGGGAGCTCAACCAGTCTACCAGCAGCAAATTATTATCAACTCGCCGGATGAGCTCTCATACCCAGGGGCCGTGTGTAACTACTCCACAATCCGAGAAGTTGTTGTCGATGAACTGCAGAACACGAGTCGCCGGCTAGCTCAGCTAGAAGTAAACATCGCTAGTGAAGTACACGCCTTGTCGTCAGAGTTGAGTGATGTCAAACTGCAGCTGGACCAGATTACGGAAGCAGTCAGAGAGCTTGCTGAACTCCTGAGGAGTACGCCAGGTAGGACTCAGGGGTCATTAACAAAACCGACAATCCATTCCCTGTTCATCAACAGAGGCTTTAAAAGCAACATGCAACATTCCCAAACTTACCGGTAAGACAGTTTAATAGGCTTCTGAATCAATCCACTTTTCAGTAGCGTTGTATTGGATCTCGGTAGTAAAGGAAAGAAAGAACTCGGTTGGGTCAAGCTGGCTCCACCCAGCAAATTTGGTAAGGAAGGCGAATGACAGCAGCACAAACCCTTTATCGAATTATTGAATTGAATCAGTATATGGAACCTCCATGGCTCTGATAATGGGCAAAACTTCAGACAGGTGAGGTTCTAGGCCTATTATATAGTACATGCATGACGCCTCTTGAAACGTTTCTGTTCGTCGATGGATGTGGCTATTTTAATGTTTGCTTTAATGAACTGTAGACACCACTGCTGCACCTCCCACACCCTTCAAAGACTGCTCTGAAGCCTTTGCAAACGGGGTGACTACCAGCGGTGTGTATACGATTCAACCTGATGATGATGGGAGTCCATTCAGAGTGTACTGCGACATGGAGACAGACGGTGGTGGATGGACGGTAAATAACTGTACAGTTTTGGTAGGCTTTTGACCGACCCTTCCACTTGATGGGAATAATTTCAGTTAAATTTGGATAAAAGGACCAGAGGCAAACTCAACTGAATAAAATACACGGCTGGTGGAGCAGATATTTAAGCATTAAGGGCGAGATTGACGTCGATACTGTCGGGGTTGTGGAGTATTACTGTTGCCGCGGTTTTATTATTGCAAGCCTGGACTCCTTCCATGGCTGTCCAGTTAAATGCTGTAGAGGTGTAACAGAGATGCTGATAGTAATTGGACTGAGAGCTTACAAGCAGAATTGGAACGCAGAGTGGAGCAAAATCGTAGTGATTAAAATGTATTTTCCGAAACGAACATTCTAGTTTGACAAAGAGAAATAAAATCCCAACTACACGCCAATACAGTTGTCTCCATCCACCGTTGAGATATTCTTAAGGAGTAGGAAACTTATCAAATAGTTTCAAACGTTTACTATTCCTCCCTACGTATCCTTGAGAAATATACACCGTAGTTCGACTGACAAACTGCACCTAAAATGCACCTTTTTGGGTTGTTTCATAGGTGTTCCAGCGGCGTCAAGACGGCTCTGTTGATTTCTACCTTGACTGGGAGAGTTACCGCCAGGGTTTCGGTAGTCTAAACGGTGAGTTCTGGCTCGGCAATGACTACCTGCATCGACTCACTGCTCAGGGCGCGTACCAACTGCGCGTCGATCTCGAGGATTTCGAAAACAACACTGCATATGCTGTGTATGACACATTTCGTGTTGATGATGGGCTGGACAACTACCGGTTGACATTGGGGGCCTACTCAGGAACGGCTGGTGAGTTATTGTTGTCATATCTTTTAAATTACAGTAATAATAGAAGAATTCAGAATAGCTAAGATAGTCTCCCTATTCAACAACATGCAACTTGACCGTGTGTTAACATTTGATAATGCCCGTGGAGGAGAATTGTCAAAAAACTGTATCTAATATTTTATTCTCCTCGAGCACAAGCACGCCTTCGTTTACAGGGGCCCTGTTTGTTCGTTTTGTTGGTAGCAGCGCTTCCACAGTCAACTTGAAAACTTCCCTTTCCCCAGAGCCAAATTTCCTTCTTTTCCTCCTAATTTCCTTGTTTTTTAGTTAACCACCAAAAAGCCTAGGCCTAATATACTACCAAAACCACTATGCTTGTTTGCTAGATGATAAGCAGAGGTCAGTACAATGATCAAACTCCCGGTCTTGAAAAAAAAATCAGGCTTTATGCGTCATGTGGGGTGATTTTGATCTGTTGACAATAGACAAAGTTTAATTGTACTAGTCTTGTTTCAAGTCATCCTGAATCTGGCAGAATATTATTGTAAAGTTTGAAATGTAGATTTTGCTTCTAATTTTGAGAATATTTGTAGAATGTGCCCAGAAATTAATAATTTCCTTAGATTCGAGGGATTTCCTCAGAATTTCCTTAGATTTTTTCATGTCCATAAAATTTCTTTCAAAAGCAAAAATTTCCCTATAATAAGGAAATTTCCTTGAAAGTGGAAGCGCTGGTTGGTAGCGATGGGACCGTAACGCGTGCATTTAATTTCAAAACAGTTCGCGACCAAAGGAGCCACGTTTCAAAGAAAATTACGCCCTCTCTTGGTCCAGCTCGAGACTCATAGAGTTTGGTTTTACCATAAATATAACGTCATGCCCTATCGTCTTCGTTTAAAGACGCAGATTACTTTTCACTGGATTTATTGCAGGTAACTCATTTTCTCGCCACTCGAACTACCCCTTTTCCACCAAAGACCGTAACAACGAATCCAATTCTTACAACTGTGCCGTACAGTACACCGGAGCCTGGTGGTACTGCTCGTGTCACGACACAAATCTGAACGGCCTGTACCTTCGTGGGCAGACAGATCAGTATGCCAAAGGTGTCGTCTGGCAACATTGGAAAGGGGATTACTACTCGCTGAAACGTACCGAGATGAAAATTAAGCTAACAACTCGTTAGCTCCATGGAATTAGTTCTCATTAGTTCATGTCGGAACTAGAAGATGGTAGGTTTGCAGAAGCACAATGTGAAAAATTCCTTTTTTGAGAATGTGTGGTTCTAAAAAGAACCGGAGGTGCTCAACATTTTGGACACTGTGCTCAGTCCATCGTCAACAGATTCTCTATTTCGTTCTACCAGCATTTTTTTGCTTATTTGATGAACACATTTTGAAAAGAATGATCCCTTACAATGTACCTTATTCGTGTGATCGGGTTCATCAGCGTGGAGGCCATCCCTCCACTTCCGCGCACCCTTTGCCGTCTTGTAAAAGCATTATCCATCTTTTGTCACAGTTGATGCCGATAAAATGTATATTTCTTTTTATTTCTCACCATTTCTTATTTTCTGGTAATTCATCTCGTTATTTCTAATTTAGGCCGTGTCCGAAACGTGCTTCAAAAGCTGTGGTGTGGCTAGGTCTAAAATTGTCAACGCATCTCCGCACATTTTCCAATTGAGGGAAGACCTAGACCTAACTCTAGACAACAGATTCGGATGCAGCCCTATCTTTCATTTTCAAATGTGGTCACGGATCAAATACGTATATTTACATATGTGACTTATATAACAGCGAGATATCCAAGCGACCCAAAATCCTGTCTGACTGCAATTATGGTCGATTGTATTGATGTAAGCATGAGTATTGGACTTTTTATGACGGTTCTTCCGTATTCATGCAACTCTGTTTTAATGTGCATTGTGGGAAATCGAATATAAACAAAAGAACAGTGGCATGGAGTACCTAATTCCTTGAGATTCGAACGCAGTGACAGGACAGCACTTAAGCTCTTGTTTTAATCTGTTGTACCTGTATTGTGCCTTTGATTGCTTTTATGATTGTTTTTACTGTTAACGTGGCCGCGGTAACTTAATGGGTTTTCTTATATTGTACTTTTGTTTAAACATTGTCAGGATTTTTTAAATTCATTTTGACACAGTTTGTGATTTTGATGGATTTTAAGATGATTTCTTGATCGATAGACGGGTTGAAAGACCGAAAATGTGATATGATATTCACGTGTTACCGCTACAGATAGGTTTTTGCTTGCTGGGTGTAAAGAAATTCGTAAAAAAAAACCCGAAAAAACCCCAAAGAACCTTTCAATCAAATTCTGGTTTCAGCATGTCTCTGTTGCCAATTCTTCTCGTGGATGAAACGTATCTCAGTTATGGTGATAAAAGAAAAAATAGTTACTGAATAAAAAGAGCTCAGGGTTTTTCATTCAAATTAAATGTTACAGATGAAAAATCACGGTTAGAGCCGCTGCCACTCCCAATCGATATTCAAACCGTTCTCCTAATTCAAGTGAGAAGTTTATCGATGTGATTTGCTTTAGGAATACAAATTTTGACTGGCTAATGTTTTTTCCGTGTGTTGGTCATTGGCGTAGAGATCTTTATCGGAATTCCAAAGGGAATATTTTCTGGAATCCTGCTTCAGAAGAAAAGTTGATCAAGTACAATTAATTCACAACTATAACTTAATTAAACATGGAAATTTAATTGTGTTTGAACGAATGGGGGTATACTTGTTTTCTATTCACCAGTCTACTTGATAGCAAAACCTCGTCAAATTTTGATCAAAGTTGACGCCTTGTGAGGGTTCTTCTCATTTTTTTTCAAACATTTCGATCTGTCAGCAGAAAATTAAAAATTACATTGCTCTCGTACATGGCTAAACTTCCACGCCGCACGATGGACCGACAGTATCCCTGCCCCTGCTTGTTTTGTTTGCAGATAATTGATTTATACTAACCCCAAGAGTCTTCACTTCACAATCGTCTGGCTTTGTTGAATGCGATAATGTTGTAGAATGGTAGTTTGGAATAAATATTGTTTAGAGGTTTTTTTCGTTCATACAGTTACTGGGGTTTGTTAAGTTACCTGTAAGTGCCAATTGAGGGCGCACTTTGATTATACACGTGGTGAGGAAAAGGCATTTTTATACATGTAATACCTAAATACTGACAAAAGCGGGCGCGAGGCCGTGAATTTCGTGAGAAGTGGCGGAAAAACGTCAAAGCTGGGGTCTCAAAAGCTGAAGTTGACGCAAGACTCCAGGCCACATCGAAAAGAGCAGCTCGGAAGCAGCGTGCAGCATCCACGCGTGATCCAACCAGATACGTCTGCACGACGTTTAAAAAAGACTGCCACTCCAGAATCGGGCTCTATAGCCATGCAAGATTCTGCCCCCCCCCGTGCGCTAACCTTCGCCTTTCGAGACGAGGATGCCGAGATGCGTGTACGTGTACATGCGATACAACTAGGACCTGTGTGCCATCATAGTCACCCCCCCCTCAGTCCCGAGGCAACACCTCCCTGGGCCTGCATCCACCCGCTCCGCCATAGGCTTCCCTCACAAGTAGAAAAACCTGGATTGTTAAACCAGGTATTGTACTTGTTGCTGTGGTGGTTCAGTTGCTGAGTGGGCTTGGTGATTGAGTAGACAATTTGATAGGTTGCTGATGGCCATTATGACACTGCAAATTCCTGGTAGTAACGCCAGGTTTATTAAACCATGCCTCTAAGAGGGCTGCCTGACTCGATTATGATTGATCGTCGTGCCAAACAATAAACGTTTGTGGCTATTAAAATGCTTGTCTCCGTTGTGGCTCTTCTCACAAAAAAGTACAGCCTGCTCCGTGACAGGTTATCAGTGGCTGGAATTTCCAGTGATCTATTAATAGGATGTAGATAACTAAAACCTCAACCCGAACACACAATGAAATTTGTAGCTGGAATACTTTGCGTTGTTGGTCAGAAGTTTAATGAAATAATTTTCTCTTTTGTGGCTTTTATCCTCGCATAAATATGTTTCTTTGGGTCGGCACATATTCGTCTCTAGAGCCTTAACTTTCACCCAGTTGGACAAACTAACTTGGCAATAAATCACTTTAAAGCAAGGGATCATTCACTTCGAACAAAATCAGTTTCTTTGATGGAAGTGAATTATGAATAAAATTCTTTGCTGAACTTCTAGATCTGTAAGTTTTGGGTATTGCCTGCTTCTAATATTCCAGTATGTACTTCAAGCCTTGTTTAATAACAGTTTGGGGGTTGAAGGTATTTGTCAGTTTGCTCTTAAAGAACCAAGAGTTCGTCCTTACTGTACAAGCAGTTAGTAAAAGCCGAGAAAGAGTGTACCATTTTAATTGTTTTTTTGTATCGTACAAGCTTAATACTAAAAGACAAACACTCACAACATATTAACGATACATTTTGCTAGTAAGCATTCAAAAGTTACAAACGGATCTTCAGAGCCTGGACTCAAAGAGATAGCATATTTTTTATTTTATTTTTTTTAATTTTCAACAGACTAAACTAATTCAAATCCCATAAGATGTTTCCTCACTGTGTACTGGGCTATCTCCCTTTCATAAATTCTCTACTACTGTACAGCCAGAAAGTCTACTCCTAAAGTTTTGTCTAGAACCCTTGAAAAGGAAAAATAAGGTTGAAAATTCTAAAAATCTGCAAGTAGTTTTCATCTATTTTCTCAATATAAATGCTTCGTGACTTTCAAAGAGTCTTAATTTGTATATCAAAGCACATTTGAATCTCACAAAATGACAGATTTTTTTTCTTCAATTTCTGATTGAAACGCAACAAACTTGCCTAAGTGTTCAGGAAATTAATACCGATTTATTTACACCTACTCTTAAGTAATATCAAGTGTCCATAATGTGCGTTTACTCTTAAGCAGACTTTGAAATTAACTACAAAAATAAATGTAGTATATATAAGCAATTTCTGAAACTGAGCTTCAGCAAATAGCCTTGAGGAGACAACAATAATAATGTCAACGTTTAGAGTTTCTCCACTCACATTTTTATTTTTACAAAACATATTTTTTATCTTAGTTTCCAGCGTAAATTTACAGCACATACCTAAACTGAAGCGCTTCCGAGGTCATTCGGGAATGGCATCACGGGCGCATGACTGTCTGCCCTATAAGCGCAGCTATACGCTGCCTCAAGTGCGCGCTTTGCTCGCAAAAGACATTGGCTTTTTGAAATACCAAACTGGCTCATTGTTGGGGACTAGCGAACACACAGCTACTGCATTACACTGTAACCGATGCACTTAACTGTGTGCACAAAGTTGGTTGTCATCTTTTTTTCATTATAACTAATAGTCATTGTCATTTTTAATAGAATTTATTTATTAATCTTTGTGTCACAGTGGGGGTGACCTGGATCCGCGCCAGCATATTATACTTATCAACATTTACTTAATTGTATATCACGAGGGTGCACTTGTTATCCCAATACTCAAGTGGGACCAACTCCAACGCTTTACTAGTAAACTGATCAGCTAACGGTGCTAGTGACATTAAAAGTTAATAAAACCCCTCTGGAACATTTTTAGCTAGATGTTGCTTCCTCCTCTTGAAGGCGAAAAATGAATGTGGGGGGGGGAAGAGACTCGGTAATGTGTTTTGAGAACCAAAAATTTCTCCCCCCTAAACTTTGAAACGATTCGTTTTCGTTTTGCTCCTCTGAATTCGAATCAGAGCTGGGCTCAGTCTCACTCTATTCCGCGACTGCGTCCAATTTCAAGCTACTCTGCACTTGTTTGACCGCATTGTTGGAGAAGCCAGACTCCCGATGCAACTGGTACGTGTAAGTTGAAGAACTCCGCGTGCTTGGCATGTTGCGTAGGACGTTTTCCAGTACAACCTGATCAGTTGGTGTGGCCCTCGAAATTTTGGGTTTCTTCAGCCTTTTGCACCAGTCATTGCAGTCGTGAGTTTGAAAAAACTTTACGATGCCATACTTCCCCAAATCAGTAGGGCCGTAGACATTGAGCTCCAAGCCTCCATTTTGGATAGCTGGGTCGGTGAGACTGTAGCCTCGTTTATTGTACACTCCTTGCAGGTCTGAAACCAGAAACTCGCCGTTTGATTGATGGTAAGTGAAATGACTGAAGGCGGCCAGCGTAGGCGCTGGGTGATCTGGATTTACGTATCCAGTATTGCTTGAGAATTTTATATATTGTCCTTTAAGAAACCTCTCCACAGCAACTGAAGCATTGGCGGGGATGATATTTGAGACGCTGTCCTGCGTGCCTGCAAGTTTTCCTTTCACGTTTCTCTCAAACGGAATAAACCCAAGGAAGTAAAAGGTTGCTCGTTTGTCAACTTTGGTGAATTCTGGTGCAACAAACTCAATTGCCGTACTTGGTTCGCACCTGGTGTTGAACAGTTGCGCCATCTCACGAGCTTTGCGGTAGACACGATCGTCTACTTTCCAGGCATAGTCCTTCAGGTGTACGAGATATTCATCTTTGTAGACTTTCACCACGCAACGTTCTCCCTCCGTGCGGGCATTACCGTGGAATGTGCCTTTGTAGGCATATCGGGAAACGCCTTGTGAGAACCAGTCATCTTCAAACTCCACCCATTCACGGGTAGATCCTGTCGCCTTGGTGGTGTTGCTTTGGTTACTCCCCATCTTGCAAAGAATGACTTTAGTCTGAAATAAGAACATTTCGATTTCGTAGTAATAACGACTATGGGAGAACAACTGTGACAAACTCGTTCCTTCTCTTCATACTCATATTGAAATGCTGAAACCACCATCACTTCAGCAGATTAATTGACCTATAATGTGAAATCTGCAAGATATCGTACATTTTGTAACACTATTGAAGAATTTGTTGTTTCCTCTGCTGACTTCGTCAGTATTGAGTCCGTCTTCAAACATCAAGAGACGTCTCAGACTGACTTACGCGGTATCAGCCCAGAAATTTCTGGCCAAATTTCAAATTTCTCGTATCTTCCCCTTTGGGAGAGTGATACAGCCTACGTAACCATGCAAATTTATCCTTAATAGCTTTCCACGGTTTTTGAGTATTGGGCAAGAACGGGGTGGGGGAATCAAATCTGAAAATCTCGTGGGGAGAGGGAGTTGGCGCATTCTCCATTATACTGATCAGCGACTCTTTGCCGGCAACACCTTTGAAAACAAAAATCTCTGTCGCCGCCAATAAATGAAGTCGAAACACCATACAATTGTGCAGTATTGTTTTCGATATAGGAATGGTAATGTTAACTTACATTAAAAAAACAAAGTAAAACAAAAACCAAAAAACAAAAAACCCTTAAATGTCACGTAAAAGGGTATAGGTCACTTTAGGCTTGAAGAAAAAAAGCATGATTGGTAATGAGGGATGATTGAGCTGCAAGGATTGAATGTGACTGGCCGATACTAGTTCTTTGAAGATCAAAATTTAAGTTCAAAGGATTCCCTCATTTCTCTGTTCAGATTTTCAATTTGGTTTTGTGTTTTTCTAATGCAATTTAAACAGTATGTTTGCAGGTACAATTCTCCCACTCTCCCATGCAATAAAAATGTTTAAAAGGGTTTACCGTATATGTTACTAACATGAATTGCAATGTAAAACTTGGCTGCTGACTTAGTATTACATGAGTGTACTTCAGTATTCCTCAGAAACAGTGATTTGGTTTCAGGGAGCAGAAAATTGTTTTTAAATTTAAACATTAGGATACCCAGTTGATATTTGTATAAGTTGGAAATTGATAGGGTGTTCAGTTTCTGGAATAGCGGTTTGGTATGGTCTCTAGGCCCAGATTTGGCAATAACCCGTAGCATTTTTTTTGTAATATTAATACTTTATTCAAAGAGGTTAACTTGGAGTTTCCCCAAACTAACAATCCATACTTAAGGTGGGGCAGAGCTAAGGTATTATAAATTGAAAGTAGTACTTTTGTAGCAATATGTATTTCAACTTCAACAAAATCCCTAGTATACCGGTACATGAAACTGACATGTCGATCTGCCATTTTCAGATAAGACCTTTATCAATAATAACACCAAGAAATTTGAAGGAACTTACTTGACGTAGTTTTGAGTTATTAACATATACACCGATAAAACTATTCCTATCGGTATTAGAGAAGACCATGTAACTCTTTTTTTCATTGATAGAAAGCCGATTACTCTGGAACCAATACGAAATGCGACGTTATTCTTTTTTAATAGTACTGACTAATTCCTCTAAATGATTATGACTGTATAAAATATTAGTATCATTTGTAAATAAAAATAAAGGATACCAAACTCGAAGAATGGCATATGTCATTGATATAAATGAGCAAAAGAATAGGGCGTAAGATTGATCTTTGTGGGACACCACATCTGATAAGTTTCAGAGTTGATGAACAATGTTTCCATTGGACAAACCGTTTTCGGTCAGAAAGATAGTTTCTTAACCAATCCAAAGCCACGCCTCTTATTCCATATCTGTTCAGTTTTAAAAGCAAAATATTATGATCAATTGTATCGAATGCCTTGGATAGGTCCAGAAACAATGCAATAGGCCTAGTACAAGAAGATTTGTCTAAAGAAGAGCAAATTTTATCCTCAAAGTCAACTAGATCCATTTGGGTCGAGTTATTTGCACGAAATCCATTCTGTGACTCAGTATATGATTTTTTCCTTGGTTTTAAAAATGAATCCAGACGACTTGCTACCAGACGTTCTAAGACTTTTGAAAGACTCGGTAGTATAGGAATAGGACGGTAATTGGATATAAGCTGGGTCACCAGTTTTGAATACAGGAATTACTTTAACAACCTTGAAGTGATTTGGCACGGTTCCAGATACAAACGTAGGTTAAACATTTTAACAGAAGAAGCAATTTCATGTCTAATTTTCTTAAAAAGGAATGTACCCAAATTGCCGTGTCCAGTGCTTTTTTGGATGGTAGTTTATATATTTTAAAAGTTCATTTGCAGATATTGGATTCATAAAACATGGATCATTGAAGTCACCAACTATAACATCAGTCGGATTGAAATTGACTTGTGGGATCTTAGAAGCAAGCTCTGGATCAATATTTGTAAAGAAATTGTTAAGGTTTCGGCTATGAGTTGCGGATCATCTAGGTTTACACTGTTGATCACTTTGAATGAATCAGAACCAGATGATTATTTTGTATTTCTATTCGGGACGTCATTTATTATTTTCCATGTATTTGCTATGTTGTGTTACTCTTCTCAAATCCTGCAAAGAAATATTTTTTCTTACCAGTTCGCAAATACTTGTTAACCTGTTTCGATACTTGTCATGTTTCATTTTATTAGTTTCACCTAGGTTGTTTTAATAATGTAGCTCTTATACATATCGTGAGGCGCAGGTTATGTTTTCCCTTTTTACATTTGTATTTTTTGTATGGAACAAATTCATCAAAAAGCGTGGTTAACTGTGAGTAACAAACATTTACATTTTTGCATTAATTGTATTATTTCAGTTAACACTCTGCAATGCATTTTTCAATGCAGCTACATTTTGGTCACTAGTATCTCTTTCCAGTATAAAAGGTTTTCATTTTAGCGTTTGTAAAGCAGATAAACCTGTCGTATATCATATGTGTTTATTTATCAACGTGTCAAAATATTTAAAAAGTGTTACAGATTTTCTTTTAATATGCGTTTGGAAGTTTAATGCTTGGGTTTTACGGTGTATATAACGCCCGCCTTTCGCCCCATTGTTTAAATCATTTGATAGCCTAAAGAGTGTCTTTTTATTGACTGTGGTATCAGAAACTTCCACATCTGACAGAAGACAATTTGCTGGCAGTGTCTGGCGTCCTCATGTTTTGTTCGTTTGGAGAGCTTCATCAGTGCTCCTACGGCGTGAACGCGGCTGTTCAATGTGCTATGTTGGAGTCCACCATTACTAAGCTCTATTAAGTTGAGTTAATGTGAGACTTTATGAAAGATCCCTGACTATGCATACTGCTTAAGCAGTGTACAGGATCTATAATTAGTTTTTATTTTCCGTCATGACACAGACAATAGACCCACAAACGCAATTGCTATACATTCTACAATTTATTGCAGGATTACTACTGGACAGCAAATTCTACTCACAAATTAGCTTATCACTTCAACCTAGCAAAAAAAGATATGTTAATGTAAACAACACTGTAAACCTGGGAGTTTATTGTTATGAAATATTAGACACTATTCACTACGGTCATCTTACCAACACATTTTACAATGTTATTTTGGACTGCCCCATCAAGTATCAATAACAGGTAGTTTTCTTTTGAATATGTACAGTAATTCATTGATATTTTACATGCTGACGATATTTTCCCTTGTGCCAAATCTATCAAAAGCATTAGCAGAGTTGGCTGCAAAAGAAAGTTCCCACACTGGAGAACAAAAAAAAAGTATGCTAAACTGGGACAAGGAGAGGATAATTTACATATTGAGATCGATAGTATTTCCACTGATAATTTTGCTTAGTCCTAGTACACAACTCTGGGTTAATCTGTCTCTATTGTGGAATGAGCATAGCAACAGACTTGTTGGGAAAGTTAGGCGTGTAATGTGTTCTCTAGCAGCCACTTGTTTTCTCAAAAAAAAATCCTTAAATATTTTTATTGTGATGCTGTCTGACAAAAATCTTCCAAAATAGCTGGCTGTTTTTGGCAGCATGCTTGACAAATGTCTGAGAAGTTCTGGACAAGTATCACAGACATTGTTATACCATCTCTGGTGTGGGATACTTCAGAAGACGAATGTTTGGAAGTTTTAAGTTTTCATAACTCGTTAAAAGTTAAATCATGCAATTACCTCAAAACTAATAACTGTTTTATTCGGTACACTGATACATATACATACTGCACTCGGTCACTTTCGTACAGTGTAACATTATACTATCCCTCTCATTAGTAAATTGAAATCAAGTAAAATGTATTGAAATTTAGCCTAAAGAAGTTTCTTTTATTAATTGAATATATTCGAAATCGTTTGAAATTGCTATTCTAAACAATTTTTCACTGCTCGGTACCTTTAGAAAACAGCGTAAAACTGAGGGGTTTCCAAAGGTTAACAAAAAATCAAAGTGTTAAAAAGGACCGATAGAGAAAAGGACTAAACATTTGTACTCTACAAAATAGAGTTCCGGTAGTGCTGATTCCCAGAAAATGGAAGATAAGTCTAGACCGTAAACTGATTTGGCCTTTGGCCAATTTCCACTCATTAAATGTTTTGCTCAAATGGTTAAAAATGGCACAAATGTTCATACAATTAAAGAATTAACCACTCCAGATGTAGTGCTAGATCACTACTGACTTACTGCACATGTAAATATCGAAAATATTTGTGAAAATTGAATACTGAACTTTTATTTTCAACTGTTCTTTGTCTACGACTACGAAGTAACAAAAATGTAGCTCACTAATATTTTTTTTACAAATGCAAACAATAGAATGATAATTTAGGAATGAAGTGTAGGCAGGAGTTTTTACAAGTTTCCTCAACTTTTTATTGAGGCTTTTTATATGTTCGTGGACTTTTTATTTTAAATATAAATAGAACAGTTTCTGTTGTCAAACGTGGCTTTATTCGAAATGTGTTAGAATCAGGCCAATATAGTATTTTAAGTGAAGTTGGAACGTCTGAAAATAAAGAAATCAAGTGACATAAGGAATTTGATTTCAGTGTGAATACTATGTTCTGTAACACTGGAAATAGCTCTCAGTGTATACCGTGTGCTGTTTAAGTTTGAAAGCCTACTAACAATTACAGCATCAAAATCATGCCCTTTTTGAAATCGTAGGTTTTTGTTCAGTAAAATATGTCATTTCTTTGCATTTACTGCAGACAAGTTACACGCATTATGAACTCTTTGGCAAAGACATGACCTGCTGCTGTTACAGGTGATATATAGTAATCGCACGTTTTACAATTAAGACTACTTAACAGATGAAAACATATAAAAATTCCATGTCTTGTCAAATATTCAAGACACTTATTACCAACATCTTTTACCTTCACGTGACACCTAATTGGTTTGAGAAATCATGTATCAAGCACATGCATTGTATAACAGACCTAAACTCATGTACCGCACGTTCAGTGGACATTCAGGTCTGACGCGGAGTCGTCATTTCCCTTAGAATCTCAAACACAAGAACTAAAAAGGCCAGAAACAATTTACATTGTCAACATTGTTTTATGGAGGGCTGAGTTTTGCCAGGAAAGATCAAATTTTGGTCCCGGTGTTGTTTGGGAAAATGGCTGACCCATTACAAAGTAAGAGAAAGCAGGATCGGGAAAGGTAGTTTGAGTAATCAGTCCACGTTGCTTCGTTGCAGGGTGGGCAACATGCAACCCTCCCCCGGCAGATTTATTGTCAAATATACGGTGAGTAATAAACCCTAACAAAACAACACCACGACATTAAAGCAAGGATGTCGGGACCGTGAGTAAGGCTTTTAATTTTCTGCTCCCCAAACATCATATTAAATGCCCAAAGCCGCTTTCGCTTTTAAATTCCCCCCTTCAAAAGTTGGATACGCCTCTGGAACTAGGTTCTACCAGCTCTCTAAGCTACAATATCAACAGGTACTATACATTTACTACTATTCAGTCACTGCTAATGTTGGCAATTTGAAGGACATGAGCACAAACGTGAAGGCTATTTTGTAAACTGTATAGTATAGCAAGGTATGACCACTTTGGAATAGGCTTGTCATTACAACGTAAAATGACCTCAATTCCTCTGCAAGTGTACACAGACAGTGTTGAAATAGGCTACACATTGAAACAGCCAGTTCACCAAGCCGAGATAATCCCTGGACCACCCCTAACTACTAGAAATACCACTGACCACCAACAGTGGTAACGAAAGCAATGTTCCCAATGGCAGAAACACTGCAAATGTTCTTTTTTTGTCTGGAGGGGAGTCGAACTTGTTCGATGAGCAGTTTCCGAAAAGGATGTTATTTGTGAAATGAATGTATCACGAAGTCTTAGAAGCGTGTTTTGAAATAATGTCGCTATTGGTATATTGAGGCTTGGTTAGGCCGAACTGTGTGTATTTCTTAACAGAAAAGGCGGATTTAACTAAAGTGAAGAAAAGCAAAGTTTATGCATGGGGGATGTTTTTAGTTTATGCCTGTTCACGAAACATGGACTGCTTCCAGCCTTAAAGTGCTATGTATTTGTACGATCTGTTCGACAGGAACGTCAGTCAACTCGTTCAGATAACAAGTGCGCTTTGACGAACGCTCAGACCGCATGGCGCTCATGATTTTATCAAGTAAGTTTCCTTGTTCAGGAGAAAGGTCGATGATTTGGGGTTTCTTCCACCCTTTGCACAAATCATTACAGCAATGGTCATCAAAAAATGCCAATATGCCAAACTTTCCCAAATCACTCGGACCATACTCTCCAAGTTCCATGCCTCCGCTCTGAATAGCCGGAGCAGAGAATTTGTACCACGCGCTACTGCGAATCCCTTGTAACTTACAAACTAAAACTTTGCCACCCGAGGTATGGTAAGTGAAGTGGCTGAAGGCAGCCGGGGACGCCATAGCGACAGGGTTAACATAACCAACATTGCTTGAGAATTTCTCGAAGTCCTTCCCATCCAGGTACATCTCGATGGCCACCATTGCGTTTATGGGGATGAATTGAGAAACCTTAATGCTGGTGAATTCCGGTCGAACGAATTGGATTGCTTTACTTGTTTGACACTGTTCATTAAAATCCCGCGCCATTTCATGGGCTTTGTCGTAGGCACGTTGGTCTACTCTCCATGTGTATTCTTCTCGGTCGTTGTTCAAGTACCATTCTTCTTTGTAGACTTTCACGACGCAGGGTTTGCCCTCCACGCGACGGTCGCCTTGATACGTGCCCCGGTAAACATGCCGGGAATGCCCTTGAGTGAACCAGTAGTCTTCGAAGTCCACCCACATGGATGCTGTGTTTATTATTTCGGTCGTGTTGCGCTGGTGGACACCCAAATAGAGAAGGCATCGATAGAATTTTGAGGCTGCTACCGAAAAACATGAAGAAACTGCTGCGGCAACACGTGAACCCAAGGCAGAGAGACAAGAAGCCAATACTGAGAGGCAGGACGCCATTTTGCAACTCTGAAACAAGAACAAATTATGGCATGACAAATGCGAAACCCACTTTCCAAAAGCAATAATTTAAGATACATAAGTGAACAGTTATTGAATGTTGCGAGTGGGTCACTTTGTATCCGCAAGGTCCTAAAGCATTTCCCCACATCACAGCAGTTAATAATTGTTTGCTATACCACTGTCTTGAATTTGTGTAATGTCCTCACGTGGAAGTTTTTAATTCAATCTAAATGAGTATAAGTCAGTTGGTGCACAGAAAGCTTTGGGACTCGTGGAGACCTGCAACCTTGCACCATTAGCTCACGGTCGCACGGGCCTTGCTCATGAGAAACGTGAAAACCTTTCTAGGAGGAAAATGTAGCTTCAAGCTGAAGAAACAAAACGTCAATCTGGCTGACCCAAAAATAAAGCGATCTGACAGTTGATGGTATCTCGGTGCCATTTCACTGCGCCCTCTAAACTGCCATGAAATGTGTGGTGTAAGCAGCTGAGGTACTGTGGTCCATTTATTTGGTTTGGTCTGTGGGGTGAGGACTATTCTCTAATAGCATAATATAATGCAATATCAAATGGTGAGGGTTACTGGCATTTAATCAGACGGTCATTTGATTACTTTTGGCCAAAAAAGTGAAGTATTCAAAACAGAGCTATAACAAATCTGCAATACTATTTTAGAGCTAAATATAAACGAAAACACCACACTTAATTATAAACCAATATAGATTTTCCTTTAAGAGGAAAACCTGTTTTCTCTGATTATACTTAGAAATAAATATGGAAGCATCGTAATCGACTGCAGAGTCGTTTGTCTTCAGAGGTAACTGTAACAAGCATTATAGGATTTAGATTTGGATGCTTCCTAATTTATTTGAACAGATAAAATCAGAGAAACGTGTTTTCATTAGAGGTGCTCTTTAACAGGAAAATATATACTGAAGGCAGACTTTGAAGCAAGGTGTGTACAACTTCTGGTTGTAACATGACATTTTAGAGGAAACTATAAACCGGAGTCCCCTTCTGGGTAATCATGAGTCTTGAGGATGTTTGGGGGAATAATCTTCAAACAATCGTTTCTAAGTGTTGAATTTGGTTTTTTAAATATTACTTGTAATAAAATTTCCGTAAGAAAAATAAACGTGTGGAGTACAGATGGAACTTTGTAAATGGCAGAAAATGAACGCGACGCTGGGTATTTCTCCATGTATAAAACGAATACGTGGGGTATATCTCAAAACTCTCCATGCAAAGGGAAAGAAGGGTAATGTTCACTGGGCTTGCTCAAATCAAGGGAAAAAATGACGGTTTTTCTTTCCCTGAGCAGTTGGTGCTCTTGACTGACGTATGCCTCATCGGTAAAACGAACCACGCATAAACGATCTTTTGGGTTACTTTACGTACCTATAATGAGTCCTACGTGGATTCATGCCAAGTGAGCTTACAACCAACTCTAACAAATCTGTGAAACTTAAATTGAGATATAGTAACACAGTTGGCCATACTAATGATTTTTTTTGTGGAAGCTTCTTTCCAAAGAGTAGTTTGATTACGCGTTTGTGCGATTTCGCAGGCCTAAACACTTGCTGGTGGTAGGGCGTCCACAGAATGGCCTGAAATCACGTAATATGTTCGTTCGTTGTTCTATCCCTGAAGCTACTTTAGAGGGGGTTTTACTATGGAGTCATCCGGGCAGTCACTGAAACAGAGCGGGCCAAACCTACACTCCCATATGTTTGTGCACAAAGTGATGCTCCCATATGTTTGTACACAGACTCCCTACTGCCACGTGTCTGCTACGTTTTTGAAGAAAATACTCTCTCCCCTCTTGTCAAAGTGGGCCAAGCCACTGAGTCACTGTTTCTTATTGTCAGCGTGTCTGGAGCCTTCTGGCTGGCACTCAGCAGATAGTTTACTGACTTCCAGTGAATAGGACCAAGCCCACCCCCCTTGGAATCTGGCCTTTTGGAAAAAAATTCTGCGAGTGACCACGCAAAATGACACAAACAGGCTTGCCTGAGAAGGTTTCCATCTCTTTTACTTAGAAAACTAGCGGGAGAATGTGATTTACAAGTCCTTTGTAATAATAAACATGATTTGGCCATATCTTGGACAACTCGCGGCACAGTTGCAAACAATGACACACTGCCAACACGAAGTCTAAAGCTTGCTTGAAAGGTTGGTTTCTGGAAGGCAAACGTTTCGGTGCTACATTTTTTCCCTTTCGTAGTGGAAACGTTTACATATTGACCAAAACCCAACACCGATCCTATGCTTACAATCATCGTTCGATCTTTAGTCCACTTAAGTCCATTATTGTCAGTGTTTCTGGCATCAGCCAATCATTTGTAAGTACCCCGTCAGTTTCCTTATATAATTTGTTCAATGATTTATGTTCAAAATGCCGTATCCTCTCCGAGTTGTCCCTGTTCACTACTTCCCAGGTTGTATCGTGTTATTGGGGCGTGATCCCTGGCTACATGGTGTCTTAGGTTAATTGCTTCTGGCTAGCGCCCCAGGAACAAAGATATTGACAAATGGGAAGAGCCACCAAAATGGGGCTGGATAGCTCAATAATTGGTAGAGCACCGGTATTCCGGAGGCTGCAAGTTCAAATCCCACTCCAGTCAATTTCTTTGTTAATCTGTATAATCATGTATAAATACCTAGACAGTTTCTTACATACTTTGTTTCAAAATATTTTATTTCATATAAAACGATGTCGATGCTTAAGTGTTTTGACGGGGTACAGTTACGTAGTATTATCAAGGAGTCCCTCTAGTTCTTCAAGTATTTAGTCAGGCGCTTTTTCAGATAATGTCATTTCTGCATGATGCATTTACATCTGGAAACCAGACAAACGAGGTGGTCTTATACCCTGTGTACTTGTGCAAGCTGAAAATGCTTTTAGGCAGTCTATTTAAGCGTAGCGACAGGGGTTATATGCGCATGCAGTCGCAATGGACATTACTTGTTTTACGTACATCATTTCCAGCAAAAAGGTTAGCTCCTGAGCAGAAGAAAAGATACTTTTGACCTTACACAACACGGCAGGGGTTGCATGCAGACTAAAGAGCGCACCACGAACGCGCCACGATCTATTGTAAAGTACAAAACTACCTTGTGTCTAATCCACGTCAAGCACAATGGTAGGGGTTTGCTATTCTTCTCTCAGCATGGATGCAGTTTTAAAGTATTTGTGCGTTTTTATGCTTTTCATGGTGGAGGTGGCTAATGAAGTAAACGGTCTANATGTGTCGAGTCATTCCGTGCATCTTCATACGTTCATTCTAATGTAAATGGTTGAATACGTTTCCAGACATTTTCAATGCTAACTGGCAATATGGTAATTTATTTAGTGGATGTGAACATTTGTCCCTTCTATGCTTCCTAATTTATTTGAACAGATAAAATCAGAGAAACGTGTTTTCATTAGAGGTGCTCTTTAGCAGGAAAATATATACTGAAGGCAGACTTTGAAGCAAGGTGTGTACAACTTCTGGTTGTAGCATGACATTTTAGAGGAAACTATAAACCGGAGTCCCCTTCTGGGTAATCATGAGTCTCGAGGATTTTTGGGTGAATAATCTTCAAACAATCGTTTCTAAGTGTTGAATTTGGTTTTTTAAATATCACTTGTAATAAAATTTCCATAAGAAAATAAACGTGTGGAGTACAGATGGGACTTGGCAAATGGCAGAAAATGAACGCGACGCTGGGTATTTTTCCATGTATAAAAACGAATACATGGGGCATATCTCAAAACTCTCCAGCAAAGGGAAAGAAGGCTAATGTTCACTGGGCTTGCTCAAATCAAGGGAAAAAATGACGGTTTTTCTTTCCCTGAGCAGTTGGTGCTCTTGTCTGACGTATGCCTCAGCGGTAAAACGAACCACGCATGAACGATCTTTTGGGTTACTTTACATACCTATAATGAGTCCTACGTGGATTCATGCCAAGTGAGCTTACAACCAACACTAACAAATTTGTGAAACTTAAATTGAGATATAGTAACACAGTTGGCCATACTAATGATTTTTTTGTGTAAGCTTCTTTCCAAAGAGTAGTTTGATTACGCGTTTGCGCGATTTCGCAGGGCTAAACACTTGCTGGTGGTAGGGCGTCCACAGAATGGCCAGAAATCACGTAATGTGTTCGTTCCCGCCAGCAAATGCTATACATGACACAATCCACATCCCGTGACTTCTTCTATCCCTGAATCTACTTTAGAGGGGGTTTTACTATGGAGTCATCCCGGCAGTCACTGAAACAGAGCGGGCCAAACCTACACTCCCATATGTTTATGCACAAAGTGATGCTCCCATGTGTTTGTACACAGACTCCCTAATGCCACGTGTCTGCTACGTTTGTGAAGAAAATTCCCTCTCCCCTCTCGTAAAAGTTGGCCACTGAGTCACTGTTTCTTATTGTCAGCGTGTCTGGAGCCTTCTGGCTGGCACCCAGCAGATAGTTTACTGACTTCCAGTGAATAGGACAACGACCACCCCCCCCTTAGAATCTGGCCTTGTGAAAAGAAATTCTGCGAGTGACCACGCAAAATGACACACACCGGCTTGCCTGGAAGGTTTCCATCTCTGTTACTCAGAAAACTAGCGGGAGAATGTGATTTACGAGTCCTTTGTAATAATAAACATGATTTGGCCATATCTTGGACAACGCGCTGCACAGTTGCAAACAATAACACACTTCCACCACGAAGTCTAAAGCAAACAATACACTTGCTTGAAAGGTTGGTTTCTGGAAGGCAAACGCTTTTTTGCCACATTTTTTCCCTTTCGTAGTGGAAACGTTTGCATATTGACCAAAACCCAACACCGATCACATGCTTACAATCATCGTTCGATCCTTAGTCCACTTAAGTCCATTATTGTCAGTATTTCGGGCATCAACCAATCATTTGTAACTATTCCGTTTCCTTACATAATTTGTTCTGTCTTAGGGTCATTGCTTCTGGCTAGCGCCCCAGGAACAAAGATACTGACAAATGGGAAGAGCCACCAACATGGGGCTGGATAGCTCAATAATTGGTAGAGCACCGGTATTCCGGAGGCTTCAAGTTCAAATCCCACTCCAGTCAATTTCTTTGTTAATCTGTATAATCATGTATAAATACCTAGACAGTTTCTTACATAATTTGTTTAAAAGTATTTTATTTCATATAAAACGATGTCCAAAGGCTGCCTAGATCGACTGGAATCCTACCACTGCGCAATGCTTAAGTGTTTTGACGGGGTACGGTTAAGTAGTATTATCAAGGAGTCCCTCTAGTTCTTCAAGTATTTAGTCAAGCGCTTTTTCAGATAATGTCATTTCTGCACAATGCTTTTACATCTGGAAACCAGACAAACGAGGCAGTCTTATACCCTGTGTACTTGTACAAGTTGAAAATGCTTTTAGGCAGTCTATTTAAGCGTAGCGACAGGGGTTATATGCGCATGCAGTCGCAATGGACATTACGTGTTTTACGTACATCATTTCAAGCAAAAAGCTTAGCTCCTGAGCAGAAGAAAAGATACTTTTGACCTTACACAACACGACAGAGGTCGCATGCAGACAAAAGAGCGCGCCACGAACGCGCCACGATCTATTGTAAAGTACAAAACTGCCTTGTGTCTAATCCACGTCAAGCATACTCTAGTTCATTTAATGTTTTTTTTAAAGCTACACGGTAGGGGTTTGCTCTTCCTCTCTCAGCATGGATGCAGTTTGAAAGTATTTGTGCGTTTTTATGCTTTTCATGGTGGAGGTGGCTAAAGAAGTAAACGGTCTGCGTTAACACGGTGCAAGAATATCCTTGCGTGGTGCTACCTAAAGCGTTTTTTATATTAGAGTTACTTACCAAAAGGATTTTGGTTCCATATTACTGTGAGGTTTTAAAGATGATTAAATGCCCAATTCCAAACACGAATTGTGTGTTCGGAACTTATCAAAATTCTGATTTGACTGGAATTAAAGTTCACAGCCGAATATTTGTATATGAAAACACCAAGTCAACTCACACCCACACATCTTTACACAGCTATACCTGTGGGGTATTTCCTTTGTTATCGTGTACAAAACTCCCACACAACACGCAAGTAATTTCAAATCACTCCAATTTAAACCAAATACACTCTCCTGGGTTGAAATTTCGACCGTATGTCCCTTATATAAAACACTTCAATTTGCGACGGATTTTTACCCATCAAAAAAACCCCTTTTTGAGTTTTTTCCTAATGTCAGTTTCGTAACATTCTTGTATTTTGGTACCCACATGGTAAACACTGGCCTTGTGGGGTACTTCCCATTGTTCCGGTACCCCACAAGGCCCCATGTATAAGTGCCTGCACGTACCGAAAAGCGAGGTGATTTGGGTTCTGGCAGCTGGCATAATGAGATGGGAATTCCCGCTAACCCCCCAAAACCTCTGTAAGCAAAAGGAGGTGAATAAAAAGGGTCAAAGTTTCCCCGGATACAGCCTATGCTATAATTAACAGCCAATGGGCATCGGGAAGCACACCGAAAATCATTCCCAGCATCGTTTGTACGTGCATAATACGAAATTCCCGGGTTAGGAAATCGGGTTTTATTCATAGTTCACCTGTGTCGATGTCATTCCGTGCATTTTCATACGTTCATTCTAATGTAAATGTTGAATACGTTTCCAGACATTTTCAATGCTAACTGGCAATATGGTAGTTTATTTAGTGGATGTGAACATTTGTCCCTTCTATGCTTGGAAGGTAATCTTGTATTAAGTGTAATAACATTTTTTTATCCAGTGTTATTATAATGAACTCAATTGTGAGGACTCCATCGAGGCCTTTCTATTGGAATGACTTTTTTGGACGTAGCAAATTTCACTGAGGTAATCGACTGTCACTGAAGTCGTTGACTTCATAAACTCTTCTCTTCCCTTCAATGAATATTTTCTTACGCATAACTCTGAAGTCAGCCTTGAAGCATTGTTTTTTGTAATAGTTTGCTCTTCCCCATCCCCATTTATACATGTTGTAATCTGAGGATGTATTGAGTGGAAGCTGGGGAAATAAATGAACTGAACTGAAAACCAAATCGATGTTTTGCAATCGGCAGTTGATAGAGTACAATGTTAATTGAATGCTATGAGATAAAAAAATCCCAGCAACTCCTAAACATTCTGTAATTCACCAGTTACACTAGGAAACGATAATTTAGGTCAGGCTTTCCTAAACAACGCCAAGACTATACTAAACAGCCAATAGGCGTTATAGACCTGCCAAGTACATTTATTCTCTTATTAATCACAGTTGGAAATACATATGCACAAGCTTTAAAATGCCTTTCGTCAGAAAAAAAACGAATTCGTTGATGTAGATCGATGTTCCAATTAAAAAAAATCTTTTTGAAAAAAAATGAAAAATCGTATTTTTTCTAATTCACAACATAATTTTAAACATTATTGTTTTCACTTTCTTTTTGTATTGAAAGCAAGTCAGTGTAACTATCAGTTCTAAATCAAGTAAATTGAAATGTAGGTGTGTGTTTATTTTGTTTTACTGATTTGTTACACAATCAAATAAATAAACATATTAGAATCTCTTTATTTGACTAAAATCACACAATAGCAGTTCCCAGATGCAGGTGACGGGGTAAATGTTCTAGGTTGGAAACTCGGCCGTAAGTGTTGTTGAAATACTGTCAGGTTCATGGTGTTTTGTTTATCAGGAGGCGCAACTAAGGGCCGGGTTTTGTGAAAAAGGTCTCTAATCACATCCATTTTTTTGTACCTGTAAGATACAGAATTGTGATAACTGTAAAAGGCTGGGCTATAATATTTGTCCAAAAGTCTCGTTGAATACATTGAATGTTGTTTATGTTTATACGTTGTTAATTAATATTAGATGTTGATTTGCTCATGATCCGGCTCCTTTGTGATCAATGGAGTAACGACTAGACAGTGACATAACTAAGGCTAAATTTCTGGGGGCACCCGGGGTGCACACATTTTTCAAGGGGGCACCACAAGAAATTAAGCTGTGGCTGCATTACCACAGATAATATGCAAAAACTTCAAAGGGGGAAGGGGAGGGGGCAGGGAGCGGGTATCCATGCCTCCATTCACAAAGGTGAACTATTTATATTAGGTTAGACTGAATAATAATTATAAATTATTAATTCATGCACTTGTTCATTGAAATGAAAGTAACCGTTTCTGCTGACACTGATTGTGTGTCACATAATGTGCACAATATTTGAGTCAGACAACGCTGTTAGCCATCTAGAATGTGCGAAACCTAACAAAATTGTACAAATCAGGCAAAGAAAAGGAAATAAATCTCTACATCTTTGCCCTTTTCACACAATATAGAAGCATAAACAAATATGAAGCAAGGTGATATGAATCGGTCAACCCTACTTTAATCTATGTTTAAAAGAGGCTTTATACACGGAGGTCGAGTTCCCTATAAGTACTTGGCTAATTTCATCAACGATCCCTGCATTAGAAACCATTCTGCTTCTTTGCACTTCTTCAGTCGGCTTTCCCGTCGGTCATTCCATTTTGGCAACAAATTTTCCATTAACTAGTGCTCACTGAAAGGGAATTTATGCTCAAAGTAAATAATAAAACCAAAGCCGTGGTTTTTACGACGTGTGTACATGTAGTTGCCTCTCTATTAATCCTGTAGTTCTACAACTGTCGCTTTTGCTTAATGAAATTTATTTTGATAAGGTCATATCAAAATGAAAATTCAGGTAAAATGACTAAATACGGTAACAACTAGCCTATGCAGGTGAGAAAAATGTGCTGTTTGAATCATTAAGGATGTTAAAGAAACTAAAAGAAAAAAATACAAAAATACTGGATCTGCATGTGTGAGGAATCGGTTTTTTGAGTCAGTGTTCACAGGGAAACAGGGATGTTTGCCTTAGTTCTGCGTTGAAAGTAAAAATCATATATTCGTCACTATAGAACTGAATGTTTAATCATCATAAAAATTTTAGATTAGATTAATCATCATGAAAATTAAGTTGTGCTGTTTTTTAATTCACTTTGTGCCTTTCAGGAGTCTGTTGATACTGTAAACCTCGAGCAATTTTGTATTTTCGTTTTTGCGATTTGACTGAATGGGCATGCGTTTTTTGCACTATTTTGCCAATATAATTACGGCACACTTCATTTCACATGTTTTTTGCAAAACTCACCCTTCCAGAGAGCTCCCACTTGAATATTGGATAGTCTGTAGCTGTGGAAAAGTTCTTGGAGAAAAACCAGCTTCAGGGTAGAGAGGATAGCTGCGTATAATACAGACTGACGATGTACCTTGGGTGCAATTTGTATCCAGACATTTATTTTCCGTTGATGGAATATGGGTTGCTTTCGTAGCATCGCATTAATAGAAAACCGGAAAAACCCAAATTACACAATGCCGTGAGTGGGGTGGTACCATTTGGTAAGGGTAAAAATGCTCCCTCCTCTATTCATTCCATACTGCCCCATGAATGGATTTGACCCTTTTTTAATATTTTAGACTAAATTTACGTACCCATGGAAGAAATGGTACACCTATAACGCGTCAATTTTTTATTGGCTGGACTTTCAGTGGTCTATTTTAGGCCACTTTATAAGCAAACGCCTGGTGCTATCTCCACAAATTGGTTGGAGGTTGCAAATTTGGAGGAACGAAGTGTGACAAAGGCTAATAAAAAAACTACAAACAAATTTATGGAGACAGCCTGAACGATAGACAAGTAAGTTTTGCAAAATGTGCAGTTATATAATATGCAGTAAGACTTAATTCGATTGAATTTTGAGAAATGCTTTCCAAATGTCAAAGATTGTTCCCCCAAAAGGAAGACAAATATCGAGGGGAGTTGCTTACTTTATAACAAAAAAAGAAAATCATTGTCTTCTTTTATGCTTTTATGTAAATCGTGTATTCCTGAAGCTTGGTTTGGGGTTACATGAATTAAAATTAGGTAGTAGGAAATGTCTCTGCTGTAAATACAAAGTAAAAGGTGAAAAGAACGCTGACAGCCGGGTCGGTTAGTGCCTAGGCCCGTTGCAATTTGAAAGGAAAGCGAGTCATGTTAAACGTCTAAAATTGCTTTAAGTATATAAAACTGGCATGCTTATATAAAAACTATATTTTTCATTTAGTAGGATATTTTGAAATAAGAAATGAATGGTATCTGCGTATAGCCACTCTGTGCATGAAACGTTTCAGGAAATTGAGATATTTTTTTTATTTAAATGAAATTGGCGTAGATATTAGAGTTACGCAGTTCTGAAAACATATATGGCGGGTAGAAGTGACTTTTGGATAAACAATAGACACCTAATGTTACTGATATTGTTGGAAAATGTGGCAAGAATGAGGCATATTTAATTAGTCATTTAGCGGAAAATCATTTGTATGTCATCAGCACCTCAATTACAACTGTGCAATTGTCATTTCTAAATGCTTATAGGAATTGCTCGTGTTGTCTTCATCAATTTCCTTCAATTCTCCGGGGAAAGTTGCATCTAAAGAAGGTAGGTGTGTGTGCAAAATGCAAAAACTAATTTTCTTTGCATCACATTTACATTAAGATCACCCGTCAGCTGTCGTTCAATTAATTTGGAAAGTGTTGAATTACGCAATTTGGTTGTTATTCTAATCAACAAGGGGCCTCCCTCTCAGATTCACCGGCTGCTCCCGGCGGCGTAAATGGGTCAATCGAACTTGCAAGGACAAATTTTAATCTCCTGCAAAAATTGTTTTTGGTTCCAAGGCACTGCTTCTTCTGAGATTCTGTCACTGTGCCGGTTACCATGCATTTGAGGGCATAGCAGTTTAAAATCGGTGCATGTATATCCTGCCTTTGACAAAGCACTCAAAGGCACTGTCTTCAGCTACAGTGAACTTAAAAATAATGATTGTGTGCAAAACTCAACTGCCAGACAGAGATAATTAAACAGCAAATGCGTCATCCCTAGTCTTTTTTTCAAAAGACAATACGTTATTTTTGCGCTGTACGCTTGTACACCTTCAAACATTGAGAAGGAAACAATAAAGCAGCAGTTTCAAAGAAGACCCTGGCCTGCAGTGTGATTGTACAAGTATTAGCTAGTACCCACATTTTTAGGAGTTCTCTAAACCGCACAAGTGTTACTCTCACCGTCCACTGCGCTGGTTTTACGGCACGGTTTGGATGAGGAGAATCGAGATGCCTCCCATTATTGACAGACAAAGGTGTCTCAAGAAGCAGAAAAATGTACATGTACCTCTAGTCTAGCAAGGCTCCAGTTACAGCGTTTGAGTGCATATTTGCTGAGGCTTTGTAACTGTTTCAGAAAAGCTTCACGACGACGCTTTGAACTTTGTGGATGAACTTTATGTTGTCTTTCATACAAGTCAGTGTGGTGCCATGATATACAGTAGTCCTACATGTAGATAAACCGTGCATCAAAAATCCTTTTACAATCCTGCTACAGTCAAATGTGCTATTCTTTGGTAACAGAATAAAACGACCACGAACTAACGATGTCTATATGATACACATGAACAAAGTGGAGAATTACAAAAATCGCAAAAATCCTTTTAGGAATGGCATAGGGATAAAAGGTGCGTGCCCTTGTCAAAAGACCATTTACGATGGTTGTTTGCTATAATCCCATGAACTGTCCATCTCGATATGGAAGAAATTATCCATAGAATTTTTGTGGTTTGTCTTACTCATTTCAGAATATATTTCTTCGGTCAAAGATGGGTAGTAGCCAGAGCAACACTGCGGAAATGGTTGGATATCCATCGACTCATGTAGAGTTTGAGGATCGCTGGTTCGCGAAAGGGAGCTCAAGGTTTGTGTACCGGGGTGTTGCTCGCGGTGATCGCCGCGTCGACGGGAAGCCTTGTGTAGTAAAAGTCTACCAAAATCCTTGGGATGTTTACAACGAAACATATGCTTGGGAATCAGACGACATGGCCTATCGCAAAGCTCAAGAGATGGCTGACCTGTTTAATAAAGAATGCGAGACAAGTAAGCCCATCAAATTTATGAAACCTGAATTTGTCAAGGTTGATACTCTTGCCGCTTTCAATTACCTTGGACTCATCCCGTCTGAGAGAAAGGTCCAAGGCAAACACATGTCAAAGACTATCCCCAAGTGGGCGAAAGTCGCTGTCGAGTGGTATCTGGAGGGAGACTTTGTCAAATTCTCAAGCAACACGGGATATGTACATGATACCCCAGCTGCCTCTCCAGGAGCGTTCAGTCATTTTACCTACCATAGATCAAATGGTGAGGTTTTGGTATGTGATCTTCAAGGGTTGCGTAGTAACTCGGATTACAGATTTACTGACCCGGCTATTCTCAGCGGAAAATCAACAGAACCTGTTTACGGGCTCAGTGATAATGGAAAATGTGGCATAGCGAAGTTTTTTGAGAGTCACAAATGCAACGAATTGTGCAAGACGTTTGACAAGCCAGACGTTATTTTTAACCTTACAGAAGGTAGAAATGTAGAATTCAAAGCAGTACTTAAGGATATACCAGCTATAATGCCCACCTTTCAGGTAGTGGGGCCTCAGGGATCGAAAGTGAAACAAATGCAAAAGGATATAACCATGACACCGATCCAAGTCAAATCAAATGAGTAAGTCCACATACAGCTATATGTTTTCATGTGATTTTGTTTGAAAAGATTCTGACGTCTCCTGAGATGTATATCTTGAACGTGATAAAAGGTGCTATTGCAAGTTATTGCTATTTTCTGAACAACAAACGTATAATTGATGTCGGCGTATCATCAATCATCTTAAATTTCCTATTTCACACAGGAAGTTCAAGATGAGTACATAAAAATGATTCTGCAAACTATGCAGCACGTGTTGGTCTTCAAACAGCGACCATTTGCTTATATCTTTCCACACATTATAATGCTGCTTTTTGCAAGTTAATGTCTTCAGTATTCCTAAGACTTTTGACGCTTAATTGCTTTCCCCCCTAGTATCGCTCCGGCCATTTGTTTAAAGGAAGCTAATCAATTTCTATTTTATTTCTTTTAAAATGCGGTGAGTTGTTTCATTAACAAGGTGCAACAATTTTCAAGATGTAAGGCGCAACAAATTAACACGATAAAAATTTTCCAAAATTTAAATTTATGTTAGTAGATTTTGTAATGTTTGTTTGATTTTCCAATGTGCCCGAAGAAGTATCTACTTTACCAATCACATATTCTCTTCTGGCGACTGTACATTCCACCGTTTCAGACCCAAAGCTGAGGTCATACCAAGGTGTCACATGATGACAAACTACTTTTAAACAGTGTAAATAGGGACAAGGACAGCGACCTTGGATATTGGCAATTATCAATGGTTATGAAAAACTTTCGGGTTTATCATTGCCCATGTAGCAATTGAAATAATTCTACAGAGAGGATATCACAATATTACAGACTGAAATGCAGTTTATTGATGTTTCGTCATAAATGGAAAATAAGTCACAGATTCATAAATTAGTTTGACTTTGAAAATGTCTTATTTTTTCAAAAACAGCATTTCCTTTTGCTGTTCATCACAAAGATAACCGAACTTTCTTTGTAAAGTATAATGACAATAAGGTGTAGTGAATTAAAACAAGAAAATGCGTTTAATTCTGACCTGGTTCAAAGGAGTCTGGTAATAGTTTTGATTCTGACCTGGTTCAAATGAGTCTGGTAACAATTTTGATTCTGAACTGGTTCAAATGAGTCTGGTAACAATTTTGATTCTGAACTGGTTCAAATGAGTCTGGTAACAATTTTGATTCTGACCTGGTTCAAATGAGTCTGGTAACAATTTTGATTCTGACCTGGTTCAAATGAGTCTGGTAACAATTTTGATTCTGAACTGGTTCAAATGAGTCTGGTAATAATTTGGTTAGACCTACACCACACTGAAAAAATACAGAATTGTCCAAAAGGTTCCTCTGAACAAAATGCCAAGTCATGTTGCATCAGCATTGCTGAGATAAGTTTGATCAGTTTCCTTAATAAGTGTTAAGTACTAACGTTTGTAGTTTTAGTTTATTTTATTTCTTGCAGAGTTTTCTCTCGTGCTGCTCTAGTCCTATTTAATATGCTGTCGGTCTTAAATATTGCCAGAATAGTGTCTAATATGCGAGCTTTGTAAAGTCACTACACCCGCGGGTATAATGTATGTACATTCAAAGTGAAGTACATGTATGCACATTTAGTTTGCTTCGTCATGAAAAGTGAACAGTTGCAAATTTTTACAATTTATGACGAGATAAAGACAAAACCGTCAAAAGCAATCTAAATACAAACTAGTTGCTCTGTGTCTCTGCAGCAGGTGTCTCTTCTTTGTATTCTCGAAAAGCATATTTCATATCCCATACTTTTGATAATGTTCAAATGGGTCGATCTCCGATAATCACTGGCTAACAAAACAAACTGTGTAGGGTTCAGTTGGTTATCCGGCATACCGGAAGGTTTCTATATGCGGACTGTGAAGATATTGAGCATGCGGGAACTTGTTTCTAAGTGAATGTTTAGATTAAGTTTGATGTTCTTAAACTCACAATGTTTTTGACTCAGTACGATAACGAACATTGTTCTGCATATTCGTGAAATGAATTTAATTATATGGAAAAACGTATATTTTTGCCTTTCTCCTGCAAATGATTTAGGCCTAATACTTAGAAATTAAAGCAAATTGTGTGTTTTTACAGCTTTCTTGTTTTTATTTGTAACAGCGAATACATATAAGATTTTATACTATCCAGTACTTGTGTGTTAGGTGTAATTTTACTGCAATTGTCTGATGCATGTTCAAGATTGTCATTACTTTGTTGTTTATCATTTTTAAGTGTACAAGTGTATTTACTATGCAGTTGTTCATGTTTTTGTAAGGAGACACGTGTGTCTTTCCTCAACAGAATTGTTCAGATTTTGGTTTAGTTTTGTGTTGGTTGTCATGGCGTACAGCCTCAGGGTCAACCCGCCTTTTCGGTACCTTGAGTGGTGGCACTGTGTCAACAAAGACGGCAATGCGCCATATAACCCCTGGGCACTACTCGACTGTAAACCCCCGAGCAGGTGATTCAAGTAGCAAGCTCAAGGTTACTCACGCTTGAACGGGTCCAAAAGCTCGCAAAAAATAGTTCAATTCGGTGAGAGTAAAACTGCTGCCACTTACAAGAATTACAGTTTATCACCCATGCTGCCAACATCCCACATTGCGGTTTCCGAGCAAGGAGACCATTTGAGGGCGACCAGTTTTTCAATGTTTTTTATGTCCAGAAAAAAAAATAGATGCTGTGTCGGCTAAGATTATTCTTGAGAGATTTTGATTTGAAAATGTCCTAGTTGTATATGTAATTATAGTAGCAAAGCCCCAAATTTCTTGTATAAATTCTCTAATTGATCTTGACCACCATAAAGCTTAAAATGAACGTACACTTGCGGACTGGACGATTTGTGGCTAGAACGCAGAGAAACGAATAAACTATTTACAGTGATTGCAACTGTACCAGTGTCTACCGTTAATGCTGTTCAAGTCGTGTGTACTGCTTAGTGACTTTTTCATACAAAGGTTCACAATTTATGACTGGAAGAGTATTTGTATTTTGCGGGCGGGTTTATGGTGCCTTGTGCAATACCAGAACAATAGGAAGTTGTCCTAGTGGTGCTAATCAAATGTAGACACCCCTATAATATAAAACTGAGGAGGCTAATGTGTAGCATGAGCTACTATTTTCGCTGTGAATAAATATCCACTGGAGCCTCAAATTTCACCCAGTTGGACAAACTAACTTGGCAATAAATCACTTGCTATTGAAGCAAAGGATCACCTACTTCAAACAAATCAGGTTCTTTAATGGAAGTAGGCCTATTTCAACAGTGAACTATGAATAAAATTCTTTGCTGGAATTGTAGACCGGTACGTCTTCATTAAATATCCAGAAACCAGGGTAGATTTTGTAAATCTCGACGACAAAAACTTGAATTATCTGTAATTAAATAACAGGTTACTGTTGCAGCGATTAACCAATGACAAATGAGACAAGCAGTAATTACCAACACCGGGCCTGATCCAGACATTTCTGCTGGGATCGAGGCCGTTTTAATGTGCAGTGGGCTAGTTCAGTAGTCCAACAGCGCATGCCCAGACTGAAGCGTGTCCGAGGTCATTCGGGAATAGCACCACACGCGCAGGACTGTCTGCCCTATGAACAGCCATACGGCGCCTTGAGCGCGTGCTTTGCTCCCGAAAAGACCTTGCCTTTGTAAAATACTAAACTGGCTCATTGTTGCGGACAGGCGGGCAGACATTTAATGCATTACCTTGTGACTAATGCACTTAAATGTACAGGATGTTATGTTATTGTAACTACATGTGTAATGGTTATCACTTATTTCTGTGTATATTTTTCTATCTTTAATTTTTCGTTAATAGTTGTGTCAAAGTAGGTGGTTGCTCGGGATCTGCGCCAGCATTACCAGCTGATCCACGTTTATTTATTTATTTTTGTTTTGTTTCAAGAGTGCAACTTTTATCACAGTGCGTATGTGGAACCGACTCAAAACGCTCTACCAATGAACTGATTAATTATCTTACAGTTTCCTCACAGTGTCCACAAAATTGATATCGACATTTCTATAAACCCCTTTTTCAATATCGCGAAGGGCAAAACGTTGCTGCCTCCTCTTGAAGGTGAAAAACGAAAACAGGGTTGGGGATTAACGAGACCAGGAGATGAGTTTCCATAACCGGAAAATTGTCCCTCCTAAACTTTTAAACCATTTGTTTTCGTTTTGGTCGTCTGAATTTGAATCAGAACCGGGCTCATCAGTCTCACTGCATTCCGCGACTGCGTCCAATGTTAAATTATTCTGCACATGTTCGACTGCATCGTTGGGGAGGCCAGACTTCCGATTTAACTGGTACGTGTACGTAGTAGAACTCTGCGTGCTTGGCATGTTTTGCAAGACGTTATCCAGTACAACTTTGTCACCTGGAGTAACCTTTGAGATTTTGGCTTTCTTCAGCCCCTTGCACAACTTGTTGCAGTTGTGGGTTTGAAAAAACTTCACGATACCATACTTCCCTAAATCAGTAGGGCCGTGCGCGTTGAGCTCCGAGCCTCCACTTTGGATAGCTGGGTCGGTGAGACAAAATCCTTGCCTATTGTACACTCCTTGCAGGTCTGAAACCAGAAACTCGCCGTTTGATGCATGGTAAGTAAAATGACTGAAGGCAGCCAGCGTAGGCGCTGGGAAATCGGGATTTACGTAACCAGTGTTGCTTGAGTATTTTACGTAATCCCCTTCGAGAAACCTTTCCACAGCAATTGAAGCATTGGCGGGGATGATATTTGAGACATTGTCCCGCGTGCCCGCTATCTTTCCTTTCACGTTTCTCTCAAATGGAATAAACCCAAGGAAGTAAAAGGTTGCTCGTTTGTCAACTTTGGTGAATTCTGGTGCAACAAATTCAGTTGCCGTGCTTGGTTTGTACCTGGCGTTGAACAGTTGTGCCATCTCACGAGCTTTGCGGTAGACACGATCGTCTACTTTCCAGGCATAGTCCTTCAGGTGTACGAGATATTCGTCTTTGTAGACTTTCACCACGCAACGTTCTCCCTCCGTGCGGGCATTACCGTGGAATGTGCCTTTGTAGGCATATCGGGAAACGCCCTGTGAGAACCAGTCATCTTCAAACTCCACCCATTCAGAGGTAGATCCTATCACCTTGGTAGTGTTGCTTTGGTTACTTCCCATCTTGCAAAGAATGGCCTAGGTCTGAAATGAGGACATTCCAACATGACAAACTAACTCATCTCTTCACACGTTAATTAATGAAAATGCTGTAACCAGCACCGGTTCAGCAGCATGACTGATGCAGTCCGTGCAATGTGCAAGGCACTGCATATCGGTATTAACGTACTTGACAAAAATGGCTGTTTACATGGTTACTGTTAGTTCTGCATTCGTAAAAACACACAAACTGTGAAACCGAGTAGGGCATGGTATTTAAATGGAAGGTGCTTATGACAATTCTTCAAATCTGTGACCGAGTGTGGCTGGGCTATTTTGAAGCCAGATGGGCCAGATGTCTGTAGCAGTAATAAAAATTGAGTAGGCCGAAAAAATGCTTCAAATTAATTGTTGGGTTGAATCGTTTTTTTGTAGGTGTAATGTATACCTACCCAGTCCAGTGTGGCGCCAGTTTCTCTGATGCGGCCTTCACATAGGCGAAAACACAGTAGCTGTCAGTGAACCGATCTGGAACGGTGTAAAGTGAAACATTCTCGTGTAAGCAGTTGCCTCATTCGCTGCATTTTGGCGAGCTTCGTGCCTGGGTGACAAAAGAATGTCCCCGGATACAACGGGGGAAATGTTACACATTTTACGCGTCCAATCCAGGAGGCCTATGCAGCCTTGACCTTTTGTCGTTTGCTAACAAAGGTAACATGTGCACAACATCACATTAAGGCTGCATCCGAATGTGTTGTCTTGAACTACGTCTAGGTCTTCGCTCCATTGGAAATGTGTGGAGACGCGTAGACAATAGACCAAGCCGTAGCTCTGAAAGCCCGTTTCGGACACGGCCCAAGATGGGCCTAAAGTCTAGGTAAAAGTAGCATGGTAATTCCAGAAATTAGGGTCTTTTTTTGTGTCCCTGTCACATCTGAAATAATACCTATGCGTTCAGAACACATGTTCTAATTTCCAAGAGCGATTAATTAATGCAAATTACCTGCCAAACAAATAGTAATACAAGTAGTTTGAAAACAATTCCGGCGATGCTTCCATGTCAAATAACAAAGTTCAGATGTAACAGCGGGACACCAAAATGTCACACTTTTTGACCCCTAATTTCTGGAATTACCCAGCATCAAGCAAAAGGTATGAGTGAATTTGTTCGTTGTTTTTAAATGAACCGAGTACAAGTGACCATTGTTAAGGTGTAGAAGAAATAGCTTTTTTTTCAAAATCAAGAACTGTTAATGTTCATGCGTAAACGGTGAAGAGTTTCATTGCAAAACGCTAGTTTTCCATTTTATTGATTTTGAGACGATGCACAACTATGTCTGTTAAAATAAAGAAATAATAAGGAAAGTTGATTTTGGAGACATGTTGTCATGTCTCCAAAAGCTATACAAATCGGGATTCAACAGACGAGGAGTCAATTAACATAAATTTTTTTATGGACAATATATCGGTCATTGGAACTGATATTTTTCAACAAAGGTGGATAAAGGGTTTTGCTGTGAAACTCTTCAAGTATGAAAGTAAAGAGGACAGGTAAGCCGCGTGAAATGAAATGCTGAATCTTTCACTTTGTGAAACTCTTTTTTTCTCCCGACGAGTGACATTCATTATTTGCTTTAGAACACAGTAATAAATCATTTTTAAACTTTAAGTGGCGGTCTGGTGCCCAACCGCGCCTTTGGCTGAGGGCGCCTTTGGCTCTGCAAAGAAAGAGGATTTGGAGGCTCAGACACGAACAAACAGCGTGTCGCGGACAAGACCTAGTCACTTCACATGGGCTGGGCTGATTTAAATGGGGGGGGACTCCAGACCCCTACATTATTTTGTTTACGAGTTGCCAATAAACTTCGTCAGTTCGAAATAAGAATGCAGTAGTCTTCACGTTCCATCTCAGTTCATGTTCAGGTAAACGAACCCATGTGTCTTCCAATTTGCTCTATCCGTTTGAATTCTTCTTGTCATTTGCAAAAGGTTAAGACCCCCCTAATAGTTTGTTGATATTTCTGTCACTGCATTAAATTACATAACTGAATGGGTACAAAACAGTTTTGAAAGCACTCAATTACATCATTGCAGTTTTATGAACACGCGTGAATGAAATGGTTTGCAAAAGCACATCTTGTACGACATGTCTGTATTGCAGGCAGGGTAATAGAATCTAGGTTTAAATTATGAGGAAACCGAGGAGGGCGGGAAAATGATACAATCTTCTTATTTCAAGTGTTAAGGACGGATGATCTCGTCAAGGGGATCTGTAATGACTTGTCGATTTTCAATTATGACACAGAAAAACTGCAGATGTTCAAATTGTTAACATTCAGCACTTTATTACCACATGAATAGCGAATGCTATAATCAAATGTGAGCTTATTTCACGTGTGAGTTTAATATATTTTTGTTTTATACGAACTTCTACTCACAACAGAGAGCTCTGATAAATGTGACCCACTCTGTAAAAATGAGTCACAAGTTGCCAGAGCCACTTTGGAGTGAAAAGTCTTTCGAATAAATTTGCTGTGTAAATCAATAGGAACCCACAGAATTTTTCACCATGGAGTGTCCACTTTCATCAGGATGCCAAACTCAGTGATGCATCAAAACAAAAAGCTCACTTTGCTCTTTCTAATACAAATGAAAACTCAAAAGTGGATCTGGCGCCTTATGACTCATTTTCACAGAGCGGGTCACAAATGATGATTCCCAAAACTCAAACATAAGCCCAGACCACGAAGATCAGAACTATTGAAAAACTTA